GAAAAGTTCATTTGTACACAGTGATTGTAGCGTAGATATTTTAATTGTCATCAAATTTCTTGTACCATTTGATAGGGGACATCTTCAGGAACATGCTCGTATAAAGATGATAAAATTTGGGTCAGTATTAATGAAATGGCAAGCGATCTTCCAAAACGCTATGGATATATTTTAGCGCTATCGCGTCATTCACACGATGACGCGTCAAATTCACCAGCTTCTCCAAAGTGGCAATAGAGATGGTCGAAAGGCGCTAGCGGCTTTTGTAACGTGAAACACAGAAGACGTCGTACTCTGGCTGTACATATATGTACGAGGGTTGTCCCAGAAGTAATGCACTATATGTTCTAACTTTATCGATAATGGATATTTTTCCATGAAATTTTCATTAAATGTTCCTTAGAGACATTTTGATTATTCTACAACTTTTTATGTTGACTGATAAAACTATATTGATGGTATAATAAAATCAAGTTAGTGAGTTTGGGTAGGGTGGGGCAGGTTATACAGTCACGTCAAAAGGAATAAAAAGTTGAAAATATGAGATAATTAATCAACAAATACCATTTTGTGTAGCTATAAGGAGTATACTCAAAAATACATTTTAAGATACTAAATTACAATGAGCACATTCTAGACTTAATGGATGTATATTTCACAGTGTTCAATTTCACATTTTCCCTTTGCATGTTATGTACTTTTGATGCCTGTCAGGTCAGACACTCTTAGCAATTTATTCCACTGTGACTTGAAGAGTTTTTGCCTCCCATGTTTGGAGTTGTCATTCAGGGTCCAATCATCACTTTTGAATCTCTTCTGCCATCTCTTAATTGTAGTTCTATCTGGTGTATACTCCATTTATACTTTCTTCATGGTAGCATAAGTTTGTATGGCTGTGAGTCCAAGTGAAGTATGAAATTAGGCCACCAACGCAACGCCTTCTGTTATCAGGTGAGAATTGCAGCCATTTTTGCAATTTCTTGACTGTGACTAAATTTGAATTTGTGACTATTGAACTGTCGTATTATGATATCACAGCTCTAAATGTCATTATTTGTATTTAGTTAACATCATGCTGAATAAATTTAACAATTTCCAAAACATTTTGATCATTTAAAAAAAGAAATATTAATAAAATAATACTTTGGATTTTTTCATAATTAGACAAATTGGAGCCTGCCCCGCCCACCCCTACCCCCATGTTGCTATAGCAACCATATTAAGACTTAAAATTAATGTTGGATGCTGAAACTTCGGCGGGATATGACAGATGAAACTCCAATTGTAATATACACAAAATTTCAGCTGAATTGAAGAATATTAAATAAAGTTAGAGCATATAGTGCATTACTTCTGGGACAACCCTCGTATATACGTTCATCTTATTAACATTTTTAAGAGTCCATGCTATTGTTATGTGTCTGCTGGTGATTTAATTACCTTCCTGATGTGTCTAAAACCAAATCAACATTGTCTCACATCCTAAACCTCAAACACATGTAACACTACAGCAAGCTTAAGATGGATCTACATAAATCAGAGATTGTGTTTGTTTTTGGACTAAAGGATACAATAACACTGCTCAAATTTAATATCATCCTCCTAAGCAAGTATCCAGAATCCGTACCTCCTTCTTCCCCTGCTTTAACCAATTCGGAAGCGGTCCCTCGTGAGATACACATATTTCCCTTGGGATAAACCCTGTATCCAAAACCTCCCAGTACATAACCCTTATATATATATTTATTAACGTCTCACGCCATATATAAAAAATAATACAATAATAATGCAGTATCAGTTAAAATCTTCGACCCGGCCGATTTCGATCTATGGGAGACTTAAAAACATAATTTAAATTATCACTTGTTAAAAGTTTTTGATTATTAAATTAAAGAACGCCTTTTTAAAATATATATAAATATATAAGTAAAAATAAGAAGAACTAATAAAATACGTTTGAAAATCTAAACATGTTTCTTTATTCCTCAGTAGATTTTTCAAAAATGAGAACAAGAGGTATACAGGTAAGTATGACGTAATATTAATATAATTAATTAAACGTCATGGAAACCAATAAACAATTTATTTGTTTAGTTTTGGTTTAAGATATATACAGGTAAGTATGACGTAATATAAATTTTTGGTTTAAAAATATACAGGTAAAAACTAAAAAGGTATATGACGTATTATTATATCACTGTCATATTCCTCACTCTCTCATTGGTCCATGTCCTACACGTGACTAAAAAATAACTAGCGATATTCAACGGAAGTCACGTGACTTCCGGTGAATATCAAATGATATTCAACGGTCATGAATGGACATTTGAAAAACATTACCAACCCTGTTTCCCACATGGCCAATACTATGGGTATGAACACAATGGTTCCATTTTCATTGACCCATTGCAATGTTACAATTAATCATAATGTTAACATGAAATCTTAAATTAAAATACTACAATTTGGGAGTTGATATTTATTGACTATACAATTTTGTTTTTATTGTTATATTGTTAGAAGAAATATAAATGTATTTCAATGTTAACATATGACTATAGAAGATGTTATGACAGTGATATAATAAAACAAATATTTAATTCTATTTTCGGAGAATACCTGTGACACTTTCACAAGATGATATTCCACTAGCCCTTCGGGCTTCGTGGAATATCACTTGTGAAAGATGCACAAGTATTCACCTCAATAGAATTAAATATTTGTATAATATTAATACACTTAATTATTGTCAGTAGTATTTATCCATCACGTACAATTTAACCGTTACATGTATAGTAACCAATAAACAATTTATTTGTTTAGTTTGGGTTGAAAAATGTTAATAAAATGATTTTCCATGGCGATTCTTTGTTCGATATCGTCTTCATGAAATTTAAAAAAAGGCATAATTGTGAATTTTGGTTCATGTCCAGTAGCACAATTATCAATATGTTCGCTTACTGGCAACATACGGACAGTAGGGTCACGAATTTGTTGCTTATGGACCCGGACCCTGTTCCGAAGTTTGTCGCCCGTTTGTCCAATGTAAATCTCGTTACATCCAACACATTTCATGGCATATAATACGTTTCTTGATTCACAATTCATTGATACCTTGGCGTTGAATGTTTTGCCATTGTATTCAATATTTTATAAATATATTATATATATATAGCTAGATACTAAATTATTTACTAGATGCTGAAGTCAGATACAATAATCCCTTTAATCTCATTCCGCACCGAATGTTTAGGGGAAGCACATATTTGATAAATGTTTCCCTTTTTATAAAATCACACAGAAAGTTTATGACTTTCAAAATAAAAATAATAATTTGTATCGTAATCACCGTAATTAAGTATGCAAACAAACCCAACTTGTCTCTTGGTGATAGGACCATTGAATGTGAATGACACTGTACAACATTTAGGCCTGCCTTTAGTGAACAGGTCACATATTTCCCATGTTGAAAACTCCTTATCAAAAGGCAAAAGAGCTATCAATGCCTATATTGGAGTGTCATACACTGTTAATAATCCTACAAATCCTCTCACTGTCTCTCTCTTATATTGGACATACTGTGTACCATCATGGAACTTTTACCACTAAAAGATTCTGAGTTAGAGTGCCTTGAAAGTGGCCACGGGGGAATAGCTAAGAAAATTCAAGGAATCCCCAAGACCACTAGCAACGCAGCCTCAACTTTAATTTTAGGATGGCATTCTTTAACCTCGAACATTGTTAGAGGTAAACTTATGCTTTTATTGCAACTTTTATTTTTACCATTTCCAAGCATTTACAAGAAACTTATCATTTTACGTCTTTTTAGTGCAATATACGAAGATCTCCACAAATTTTCTCCTATAGGGAATTGTATTAAGATGGCAAAAGCATATTAGCTAGATGAAATGGTCTTATGACGTGCACGGACCTGGGGACAATTCGGGAAATACGGGCTAATCTCAGCTTAAAGCGTTAATATCTGCCTTATTTAAAAAGCTAAATACAGGGTGTCCAATAAATAAGGTAAAAGATATTGTAACTTTTTTAATATTGCACCAATCTTGATGAAATTTTCAGGGTTTGTAGCCCAAACATTTTTACCTTTATTCTGTGAATTTAAAGCGTCTTCTATTTGATTGGCCAGAGTTGTGGTTGCTATAGCAACCGAAACAACAAAAAGGCGGGGCAAGTTTGTTTACGTCACAACTTTCCAAAACATATGTATTCTTTCTGATAGCTTTATTCATACCCCGTGTCTATACCTACCACAAATACAATATAAAAACAGTCCTTATGTCCCATTGTTATGAAAATAAGCTATTCAATATAATGTCCATCTCTAGCTATACGACTTCTTATGCCTATTCACCCACTCTCTAAACACACTTTCAAACCCATTTTTGCCCATTTCCTGAAGTCTTGCTAAGACATGTGATCTGACTTCATCAGTACTTCCTTTAATTTCTCTCAAGTCTTGAGTTCTGCATATAAAGAAAAGTCATTGGGTCCAAGGTCTGGGGAATATGGAGGGTGTCCAAGTAGGGGTAGCCCCAGTACCCTAATAGTTTCACTAGTGAACATAGCTGTGTGTGAACTCAGATCACATGTCTTAGCAAGACTTCAGGAAATGGGCAAGAATTGGTTTGAAAGTGTGTTTAGAGAGTGTGTGAATGGGCATAAAAAGTCGTATAGCTAGAGATGGACATCATGTTGAATAGCTTGTTTTCATAACAATGTTACTTTAAGACTGTTTTTTTATATTGTATTTGTGGTAGTAATAGACCTTGGAGTATGAATAAAGCTATCAGAAAGAATAAATATGTTTTGGAAAGTTGTGACGTAAACAAACTTGCCCCGCCTTTTTGTTGTTTCGGTTGCTATAGCAACCACAACTCTGGCCAATCAAATAGAAGACGCTTTAAATTCACAGAATAAAGGTAAAAAGGTTTGGGTTACAAACTCTGAAAATTTCATCAAGATTGGTGCTATATTAAGAAAGTTACAATATCTTTTACCTTATTTATTGGACACCCTGTATGTGCATTATATATCATTTTGAAGTATTTTTTATTCGCATTTCACTGAAATTATTTTTACTTTAAAGTTAAATGTACTCCGACATCGTCAAATACGCTGTAAGACGTAACATTTCACGCTCAAACGGTTCGTTGAAATCGGGATAACTTTTGAAATTCTTATCAGAATTTTACTAAAATTTCACATTTTATTCATTGAAACATGTGCTTTTATGACGTCACAGTTGCCTAGCGGCTACAGTTCAAATCGTCTTACATGAACGCTTTTAAAGTTTTCAAAATTGTGTAAGGTTTTGAAGGCGAACCTGAGACAAGCAATAAGTTTACCTTTATTTAACCTTCTAATTTAGGTCTGATTTAAAAAGAATTTGACTGCACAATATTGTCATGGCGAAATTTACAAAACAATAACCGATTTCTTTATTTTTCAAATAACAAGAAAATAAGAGTTGCTTTTAGAGACTTGAAAAAATGTAACGCATCGATTTTTTACCACAAATCCCATACATATCAATTTTTACTAACGCCCCGAGTGGATTTCCTGACCGTTTTTTAAAAATCAAAAACATTTTAGAAATATTGTCCTCGAGATCTTGTTGCTCTGTGAATTTTACCAGGATTGAATAAGAATAAAGCATTTTATTTTTAGGTTGACTAAACTTGACAAAATGTAACGCTTGTCGTTTTTGACGTTATAATGCTGATTGCGCCCTATACTCACTGGTGATCCACTCGATTACGCTGGTTACCGAAACGGTTCGTTTTGGTAACAAAATGTCGGAACGTCGAAGGTACGACTTTTCTTTTTTCCTTATTTCACGCGTTGTAGGCAGAATCCCCACGACGTTTTTTCTCACAAACGTATATCAGTATCCTATGTTTTAGAAAATGTTCATGTTTGCGAAAAGATAGCTCATAAGACAACAGAATCGTCGATTTAATTCCTCACTTAAGTTACATAAACGGTTTGGGTCAAAAGTGCAGATCTTAACTGTTTTTCGAAAAACCGTTTATGTAACTTAAGTGAAGAATTAAATCGACGATTCTGTTGTCTTCTGAACTATTTGTTCGCACATATGTACATTTTCTTAAGTATATAGTCACATATTAAATATGAGTTATAGCAAAGATTGTAAAATCGTGTGTAAATGCCACCATTTTTCAAGATGGCTGCCATGTGTTTCTTAAATATCTACATGTCTAGCTTAATCAATGTGCTATATAACTTTTTTACTTTTAAAACTCATTGCTATTACAGTTTTATATACTGTACCTAAATGACTGTAAAATCGTCACTAAAATGGCCGCCATTTTGACACGACCGGCCATTTTGAAAATCGGCTATCGAGCAGAACTTCTACTCCCATAGGGTATATGTGTCTACATGCATAAACTACGAAAAAAGCACTTGGCGAAAAATCTGTATACCCTCTGGGAGCCCCAGCATGCATTTTCTTGGTGTTGTATTTTCTAAACTACCCTTTTTCGATGATATTTAAACATGTACTTTTCTAGATTATGATGATTTCATACACAATACATAGACAATCTGTGTGATTTCATTTCCCAGGAATTAGTTCAGCAGAATCCATTGAAATCTTAAAGAATATTTTGGTAAAAGAGCGTATTCTTGAAACTGAAAAAGGTTTCCTGGAATATCTTTTTAACTAGACATTTTACAACAATCACTCTTACATATTTTTATAGAATTAAAACTTTTGTAATTGTTATGAATAAGTCAATATACTGATTTTAAAATATGTTTGACTTTGAATGATTTCAAAGTATTCTTGCTGTGAAATCAATCTGCTTTCAAAAACTTTTAAAAATTGTACAGATTTTATGCTAAATCTTTTTATTTCAACATCTTGTGTTCCAAGTTTTTATTATTTCTCTTGGTGATAAAGGGTGACAAGCAATTGTTCTTTTAAGCCAACACACAGTACGTTTCACTTTATTTTTTTGGAATTCTTTCACCGAGCGTACTTTGTATCCCAATGCTTCATTACAAAGTCCAACATAAACATCTTCAATGAAGAAGAAGGGTATATTTGGTGAAACACTCACAATGCCTTTGACAACTTTCATAGTAGTGACATAGCCTGGACCGCCAATACAGTAGAGAGGGTACGTCAAATGAGGGTATTGGACAGGAGAAATGTAATACTTTGATGTCTCATTCCTCATTGGTGTAGGATGCAGGATGCATCTTCCTATTATTTCGTTTTCAATTTTGAATGAATCGATGAGTTGTAAAAGTCTTGGAGTATTTACATATACATCAGTATCAGTTTTCATAACATATTTAGCATTTGAGCAGAAATCTGATGCCCATTTTAGACCAGACATTGTTTTTAGAGTCAAGTTATTGTATACATCCATGAAATCTTTGATGATAATATCTCCATATATTTTAGCTTCTTCAAGAGCTCTCATATTGAATGTCGGGTCTTTAGCGTGCTTCCCTAATACGAAAACATACCTCAGTTCTCTTGTGTTCTTGTTAGAAATACTTGTCCAAGTTTTGCGCACCGTGGTCCTATTGTGCGTTTCACTAATTGCAGTTAAAATTATTATAAGTAACTTGACCTGAGTTGTGGAATTATTCGTTGAGCACAAATTATCATTTTTGTAGATGTACGAAGATTGCGGAAAACATGCATCACACTTATCTGGTCGTACTTCTGAAATGTTAACTGATTGGTTCATAGAGAAATTACCACTTTTCAAAACTTGTTGATAATCCAAGAATATGGAACTCGTTTTCCTTGTCGTCTGATTATTTCTTTGTGTGTTATTTTTATCATTATCGGTAACATTTATTTTATGTTCTTTTATTCCATTTCCAGTAATAAATGTTCGTCTTCTAGAGAATCCAACTAATAATTTATCTAGTTGACCATATGAGGCTTGTGTCTGATATAGTCCTAGTAATATAAGCATAGATGATACTATGCATAAGACAAATATTAATATCTTATAAATTCGTATTAACATATTGATTGGTCAGACTTCTTGCATTCCCTTACACTCTACCGTCAGAAATATCCTGTGTTCTTTCTCATCCCTATTTACTGACTGTTTCCAATACTTTGAAACAGTTAGATATACTTATTCAAATCCATTTGAATTCTATTTAGCTATTGTGGAGTTAAACCGGGGTCCTTTTGTGAACAAACCCTTTACAAAAACAAACCAATTTTCAGATTTAAAATCGTATTTGTACACCAATGGGTAAAACTGATTTGGCCATTTAGCACATGAAAGTTATTGAAAGTTGTGTAAGGAAGCTTTATGTTTTGCACCCCTCTCTCAGACAGAAGCTTGGAAAATAAAGAATATGTAGAGGTAGTGTTATGCCGGTGTAAAAGGGTAGGAGGTCCTATCAAATTATGGTCCTACTCTCCGTTGATTTATATGGTGACCTAAATACAACTCTTTCCCTCATTATCTTATACGCAATCAGGGCCAGTAGTGAAAATCGGAGCAAATGTGACCACGGCATTAGCAGGCAGAATTTTTACCCCTCGCCCTAAAACCATTTTGTAATTTTAAAAACATTGATGCGATTACAGCTTCAACGCATGTATCCAGAGCAGAGAGCCAAGTTCTAAAATAACGTAGATAAAGTTCTCTTTCAAGAAAACGAAGACAAACAAATGCAAATGGTACTGTATATATCAATCCCATCCTTGGTCTGAAGTAGATATCACCCGAGAATAAATATCATATCTGAGGAGCGGGCATGATATATTGTATATCATATATATATATCATATATAGAGAGATTATCCTATGAGGTTCAGGATATTGGGATTATCCCGAGGCAAATATAATATATCTGCCCGAGGGCCGCAGGTCCCGAGGGAAAATATATTATATTGGCCAAGGGATAATCCTAATATCCTGAACCGACTATAGGATAATATGTTTATCCCATACCACTCTTGGTCATCTGGTTCACATTGTTCAATCGTGGAAATATTTTAGAATATTTATGTCCAGTTTTGTTTTCTTGGCCGTGGGCGGATTTTCCTGTTCTCTCAAATATTCCCATATTTATTTTCTCGAATTTTTGATTGATCAAGTGGATGCTCCTTCCCTTTTTTAAACCATCAAACAGATCCCAAGTGTCTGTGTTTTCTCCAAGTTGTCGTTTACAGTCATTACGCGAACGTGCTGGGACGTCAAACTATATCTGCCCGCTGATGAAAATATAAGTTTTTACAAACCGGTTTATGTACCTGTAACACGTCCAGGTATGGGATAAATATGTTTATCCCATACTTTGACGTGTTACGGGTACATAAAGCCGGTTTGTAAAAACTTATATTTTCATCAGCGGGCAGATATAGCTTTACGTCCCGCTCAGAGCGGGCAGATATAGTATATCTGCCCGCTACGTCATAATCGCTGTTCCCGTATTTGTTCTTTTTTGTAACGTTCGCATACTGTAAACGACAATGGAGAAAAACGCAAACAATCGCGATCTGTTTGATGCTTTAGAGAAGGGAAGGAGCAGCATGCCCCGTTAATAATCAAATATTTGAACAGGTAAATCCGGCTACGGACAAGAATAAAAAACTGGACATGAATATTTTAAAATAGTTCCAAGATTGATTGCAACAATTGGACAATGTGATTGGCCAATATAATATAGCTTCCCTCGGGCAGATATAATATATAATTATAATTATAATAATTATATAATATATATATAATTTATCATGTCAGCAGATTCTTTTAATATGTTCCCCTCACTCGTCAATAGAAAACTTGTCTTTTGATGGTCGTTCATGTTTTAAAAATTACTACACAGGTTTTCACGTTTTTCAATATAAGATTTCCTGATATACTCCAATTGTTAACATTTAATAAAAAGTGTGTTTCATCTTCTATAACCGAGTCCTTACATATTTTATAAAATCGACTATTAAGATCAGTAATGGGTCTTGTATATCGGCCTCTCTCTATCTCTAGATTGTGGGCGCTTATGCGTAATCTGGTTAAATGTTTAGCGTTGAAAGTGTCGTTTCTGAAAGGTAGTGTTCAAATCCAAAGTGCGATTTTAGTTGTTTAAATAATCTAAGTTTCCCCACATTCCCACTATCAGATTCTTCCAATTTCACTGGGGGGTATCGTGATGCAACAACACCGTGTTGTTGCATCAAGATGGCCAGACTTCCGGTGATAGATTTTCGTACGATATTTTGTTTTCCCAATTTAAACCCATTTTTAGGACGAGTTGCTCAATAATCATACACGTGCAGTTAGCCCAGGATCTATATTTAAAAAAACTCTCATTAGTATGCATGTAGCATCATCAAGAAGCGAGAAATTCGCGGTTTTAATTCCTCACTATTGATGCAACAACACCACTCTGTTTATCATCGATGATGCAAAAACGCCAATATAATGTATCATTGAATATCAAGAGAAACTGTTTTATGTTCTGTTTATACTCGTAGGTGTTGGTCGGGACATGAATAAAACGCGTGAGTGCGTGGTTCATGAATGAAACGTATTTTGTTTGGTTCCTTAATGTATTTGTCTTTATGTTATCAAAGTTAAAAGGATATACAAGGTAAACTAAATACATAGGCTAAGTATTGAATCCCCGGGAGCCAACCTCATTGATATTGTATCTGAAAAATAAAGATTATTAATTCTATTTAAATCCCCTTGATTTACCGTATCGTATGGAAATTGTTTACAAAGAACTAATATAACTAGACAAGTTCAATTTCAGACTCCAGATCTGGACTTTTTTAAGCCGAGTCATCCAGAAAAAGATGGATGGATGGATAGATGAATGAAATATAGGAAGGAGGGATGGGACAGAATAGGATGGAACGATAGGAGAGAATAGAGAAGAAAGATAGGATAGAATAGCAAGGAAGGATAAGATAGGAAGGATAGGAAGGAAAGGATATGAAGGAATGGAGGGAAAGGATATGAAGGATAGATAGATAGGAAGGAAAGGATATGAAGGATAGATAGGAAGGAACGGATAGGGATAAAAGGGATAGGATAGGAAGGATAGGATAGAATAAGAAGGAACGATAGGATAGAATAGTAGGATAGGATAGGATAGGATAGGAAGGATGGATGGAAGGATGGATTTTTCGACATTTTCTTGGCTACCCTTGACTTTCTATCAGGATACCATCAGATCGATTTTTCTCGAAATTTCAAAACGCCATAATTTCCGAACCGGAAGTCGGATCGAAATTTGGTTTGCAGATTCTGATTCCTAAGAAAATTCTATTCTTCATTCTTAACTCAAATTAAATTTGGTGAATTTTTTATTTTGACCTACTTTTTGGACACCATATCTCAAAAGTGGGTTAAAATACTTTCTGACGGCAAAGGGCTAACACTATTAGTACACTCTTGGCTACATGTATACACAATTTCGAAGAATATAATTGAAGTGTAGTGTCAGAATCACAAAAATAAGGAAAACTTTGAATTTGACCTAGATTTTGACCTAGACATTTTTGTGTCCAAATTTTGAAGCTAGATTGCTTTTGAGGTACCCTTCATTTAAAGGCTTTCATTAAATAAAGCTGTACTCGGTCGTATATATGTCGTATTTTACACTTCAAAAAAAATATTTTTTCCCATTGACTTAACATGGGGCACCAAATTTAGCGATTTTGAGTTTTCAAAACGCCATAACTTCCGATGAGTGTAGGTTTAATGATATTGCAGTTATACAATGCTATTATATAGAGGTTATTTACGGAGAGGGATTCAATATTGGTTTTATTCCGGTGTAAAAGTAATAGTAGTCCCAAGGAAGCACGGTTTATACATCCTATGGATTGTCAATCCCAGTGTTTATGGTCTCAATAGGACTGTCATTCCTACTGTTATATATTAATAAGACCGTGGACTATAATCACCAATGGACTTCTGTTCCTTCCACACCAGTGAAAGAATAAAATGTCCCGGGCATTTAATCCCAATTTTATTGTCCCGGACTTTTATATCTAGGTCAAAGAGACCGTCATTTTACATATATTAAAAGAGTTATGCATAAATATAAATAAAAGTTGAGTCTGTTCGTCTCACCTTTCTTGGCAAAATCAATTACGACTTGGTCCAGTAGCCGAGAGAATAGTGTTTCGATCCCTATGTGAGTCAACTTTTTTTTAATCTCAATACAGTTAAACACTTTTTTAAGTATCCCAACACCCCTTTTTTTAAAGAAAATGTCATATTTAAAAAACTCAGATGTTTAGTTAAGCGTGGCCAACCTGGGTATAAATTGTTGCACGTGGTATATGTTATTCCTTTGAAAAGTGGATGCCAAGATGAAAACACAACTGGACATAAATGTTATTTATCAATATATCAGGCAAAAATCGTATCCACCAGGTACAACAGTGAATGAAAAGAGGGCTATAAGAAGAGCTTCGACAACAAATTTCAAGGTAATGTTAATTTATTCACATTATAAAGTCAATCGTACCCAGATAATAACGTCCGACGCCACAATGAGGACACTTCCTCCTGAAATATGTTCACAAATGTAGTCCTCGAGACTTTTCCCTCGGGTTACGACGTCCGAAAACATACACATGGACAATCTATCCTTGTTTATATCCATTTTAGTAGTCCTGGACTTTCCCCTCAGATTACAACGTCCAAAAACAACCACGTGGACCTTGTCAATATCATTTTTTATGTCCTGGACTTTTTGCCCCAGGTTAAATCGTCCGAAATTACACATATAACCAATTCATCATTGTAAATGTGGATACATTTGTATTAAGGTAACTCTGTATAATAGAAATTTTGATGCACTCCTCCATAGATCCACATGTTATTTTTCAAATATCGATCACGCCTTCCCAACATTGTCCACATCTTTCAGTTTTGCACAGAGTGCACTAATGTACCTAGAAAAGACTGTCGAGAAGATTTTTTTGATAAAATGTATAAAAACTAGAAAATTCAATGAGAACATTTTCTGAAAATTTTCTGAATTTTCTAACTGAATTTTCTCATTTTTTATACATTTTATCAAAAAAATTTCTCTACAGTCTTTTCTAAATACATTAGTGCACTCTTTGTACAAAACTCAAAGATGTAGACAATGTTGGGAAGGCGTGGTCGATGTTTAAAAAATAACATGTGACTCTATGGAGGTCTGCATAAAAATTTCTATCATACAGAACAACCTTAAATCACATACTTTTCGTATTTTGTTCACGTATGTTATGTTATGTTATTGGAGAGAAAAGAATTATTACATCGTACTTTACATAACGTATATTAGAGATTGAAAAGTTATCAAAGGGTAATTATAACTGCGATAGCACCATCCACATTATGGCACATCCACACATTAATGGAGTTTGGGTCTATAGCTGCACCATCCGCATTTCGGTTGTCTCAAACTCCAGGGCCATTCACATTATGGTAGTTTCAGACCCAAACACCGTTCAGATTCAGTAGCTAATATTTTTGTATTCCATTATGCTATTTTCAGATTGAAAGGGGGGTGCTCATGCACAAAGTTTGTACTAAATCTGATGAGTTACATTGGACCAAAGTTCTTGAGAGTGAAGAACATAGAGAGGCAGCAATGGTTGAGTGCCATTCTTCAAGCATAGGTTAGCAATAAATAATGCCATAAACTAATATTGCAATTAAATAATAATGCAATATAAAAGGCGATATTTGAAATGTACATTGATTCGAAAACATTGTAATTTAATGTATACATATTGTAATTAAGGTAGAATAACATGAATATATTTCTGAATATTCACCTCTAATTACACATATTTAATGAAAGATTATCATTTTCACAATCTATGATAATATTTACATGCTATGTCAGGATGCATATTTTATAAAAAAAATTAAGCGATTTTATTACTCCTTATTGGTAAATATATTCCTGTTTATGACATAGAAACTATCACCTTGAATCGCATGCATTAAGCTTTGTGGACTTCAATTTTATTAAATGCAATTTTAAACAGAATTAACATAAATGATGCTATTTTCAGGGGGACATACAGGAGGTCCAAAACAATGTTTACATTTTATCGACTTCCAACTTAAGAAGACAAGACAGAAAGGGGGGCAAGACGGAGGAGCCGTGGACTGGCCCCTTCGAAATTGCAGGGGTGGAGAGGGCAGGGATCTACAAGATTAAAAATAAAAAAGGACAAATTTTTAAAAAATCCGTAAATGGCTGTAACTTAAAACAGTTTCACCAATTACTCTCGAATAATGATGTAATAATTATTAGAATATAATTGTAAGAGTGCATACTGTACGTCTGACGTCGAAAAACGAAACTGACGTAACAATTCGCAAATAAAAGTGTAATGTGACATACTAGTAATTTGTTTGTTTGTTTAATTGTTTTTGCGACGCAGGCCTAAAGATAACTGTAGCATATCCAGACTATAAATCTTAGGTGTGATAGTCCGGTTGAAATCTTATGGATAATTAAATCTAGGTTTACAAGTCCACAAGAGACAATAAATCCAATAACCAAGACGTTCATTACTAAGGTTTAGAAGTCCGAGGGAATATAGATTCTAGATTTTAAAGTCCAGGACTTGTAAACCCAGGAGTTAGAGTCTATCGGACTTTCAAAATAGGAGACCGTATAAACTTTCACACCGGGACACATTATGATATTTCCCGAGGGCCCAGGGGGAATCTGGGATTACTGTACCCCTATCAATTTACCTTTTCGGGACCTAAATCCTATTACCTACCTTTTTACTCAATCAGGGAGAACGAATCCAAAGAGAACAATACTTCTACATGTGCGCCGTGCAAGATTTCCAATAGCTCGTCGTGTTTACCGAGAACGAAAGATGTTTGTCCACCATTTTGAATGATACTAACTGGTATCAGGGTCATCAAGCTATGGCACAGGGGTTTATGATAATAGATTGGGTTACTATAGCTTGCAATGTTAAAGGCGATTGAACTATGTTATAAAACAACTTCCAGTACATTATGATATTTAAAAGTATAAATTTTTGAAAATACATATAAAGAATCTTTGCCCGCAGGACGTGTATTTTGAATGCCTGAGAAGAACGCAAATGGGTACTGGCCCGGTGTTGCAATAGTAGCATTTAAAAATCTGTTCCTCTCGAGATTTATGGTCTTCTGAAATTATACTATTAATTTGTGTTGTTGCATCATTGCTCAAATCTAGAGGAGTGTTGTTGCATCTTCGGTTTGGTGTTGTTGCATCAATAGTGAAGAACTAAAACCGTGAACTTCTTGCTTCTTGATGATGCTACATGTATACTAATGACAGTTTCTTTAAATATAGATCGTGCGCTAACTTCACGTGTATGGTTATTGAGAAACTCGTCCTAGAAATGGGTTTAAATTGGGGAAACAACATATCGTACGAAAATCTATCACCGGAAGTCTGGCCATCTTGATGCAACAACACGGTGTTGTTGCATCACGATACTCCCCAGTGAATTTACTTGATATCTCTCAATTAATTTCTTTTGACTTTAATAGCAAGCCTATTTGTGCTCTTCTCTGTATTTACATGTATCACATATTAGCGCGCGGCGCGTAGTCTTCGTGGGCTAATTTTAAAATATCAGTTGTAATAAAGCTTAAAAACATGAATGCGATCCGATATAGCAAGTGCGTCTAAGGAAACAATGTCAGAAATTCTAGTTGAATTAATCAATCCAAGCACTTACCTGTCCGTTGTGTTTGTTTTTTTCTTTCGGCATTGTTGGTTCCTGATGACAATACGAGACACCGGCCTCTTGAAGTGCAATATTTCTGTAAATGTTTCGTAAATAATCTTCCAAAGTGAAATTCTCCAGCTTTTGTTTGGTCCTACATCTTACTTGAAATTAACAATACGTCATGTGCTTCTTTATTTAGTGCGGCTATTTGTGATTACAGGTGTGCTTTTCTCAGGTGCGAACTAACTGAATAATTTGTTTTATGACTTTTTGTGAAACATTTAGAATGTATTACCCCTGGAACCATTTCACAAACAACGTCATCGTTAGTGTGTATGTAATGGTAAAGGGAGGGGTATCCACCTTGAGTTAACGAAATCATTTTATACGAGCAGAATTTTATACCCATTTATGTGAACAAAGTATTATGCTTCTGAAGAACGTATTTTATTTAATACAGAATTACAGTTGTAATCAAGAATGTAGGGAGAACATTTGTAAAATATTAAGAATGAGTTCAATTGTCTATTTTTGTTTTATGTACATAGAATTACACGATTGTGGCTATGTCTTTGACATGTTATCGCAGTGTATTTCACGAGGCTATATATTTAAAGGTATTTTCTATTGTTTTTGCGTATTTCACTATCGGCGATTGCTACTTCAAAGGATGCCCTCCCTGTACCGGTTTTGTTATTGTCACCTTTCACCGTTATCCATGAATCAGGCAGTCTATTACCAGAATTATAGTATACAAAAACAATTGGACGCTCGAATGATTAAAAAGAGAATAAGCAATTCACGGATGGCAAGTGTTTTAGATTTCATTTCACATGGGTTTCTAATTTAAGGCAGAATCAGATCAAGCGATTAACCTTTGCAAGTATCGTTCCTGGAAAGCAATGTACAGGGTGACCCAAAAAAAATGCAACCCTCCATTTCTTCAATATTTTTCTTAAATGGAAGTTAATTGCTCTGAAATTTGGCACACAAGGACTTCATTCAATGTGGGATCCTCTTGCAAAGTTTAAATAATCATAGTCTTATATTGATAGAGTTATGGTCGTTCCAAAATATGCTCCAAATGTCGTCCATTTCCAATGTTAGGTTTTCGGATGAATCACATTCCCTTCTTTCTGAACATGTAAACTCAAGAAAAAATGTCTTCTGGGATCACAAATTCCAGATAAAGTGCTTCAAAGGCCCCTTCATTCTGTTAAATGCACAGCTTGGGCTGCCAATTCCCAAAATCATCAGCCCCTTTTGGTTTGAGGTTGATAATGGCAACACTGTTACTGTTAACACACAGCGCAATATTGGTGTTCCCAGGAAGTTCTAGGCAGTTCTAGAGTGACATAGAGGCTTCAATAGACAAGAACAGTGGTTCTAGAAGGATCGAGGTACTCCTCACACTTCTAATGTTAGCATAGCCTGGCTCACTAGTCATTTCTATGAGAAGATTAACTCTCCTAGGACGGAGAACCCATGGTCATCCCACAGACTTGATTTCAATGCCCTTGACTTCTATATATGGGGTTATTTAAAGGATAATGTGTATGAAAATAACCCTACTGCAATTGCAAAACTCCAACAAGCAATGGGTGCAAAAATTTGAGCGATACCCATGGGGAAGAATGCATCCGTGTTATGAACAGTTTTCCTTGAACATTGCAAGTTTGTTTTCAGCGAAATTGTCGACATCTGGAGCATATTTTGAAACAACCATAACTCTATCAATATAAGACTATGATTATTCAAACTTTGCCAGATGATCCCACATTGAATGAAGTCCTTGTGTGCCAAATCTCAGAGCAATTTACCTACATTTAAGAAAAATATTCAAGAAACGGAGGGTTGCATTTTTTTTGGGTCACCCTGTATATAGAACTATAGGCACATTTCCAGCCATTTCAGATCATGAAATAAAACACATTGTATATTTTCTATACTCTACTAAATAGATTAGGCAAAAGTAATATTATTTCAGACATTTGTGATGTCACGAGAATAAGCTGTGATGTCACGAGAATAAGCTGTGATGTCACGAGAATAAGCTGTGATGTCACGAGAATAAGCTGTGATGTCACGAGAATAAGCTGTAGTGTCACTCAGGTGGCAACAATTTTTTTCAAATTGAAAATCTTTTTTCTTGTAGCCTACAAATATTTTTTAAACTTGCTAAACTTCAAAATAAAGCAATATCGTTGGGCTGTCTACGTTGAAAATAAGTTTTTATCGTGTTTTAAATATTTATGTCCCATTAGATTGAATGAGAACTAAAATTTTAAAAAGCTTTTTTCTCTCTGAACCACTTTTCCCAGGGCACTTTTCTGCGCTTATTAATTAAAATGTTATACTTATTTTTAACCAATTTTCTTAATTTTTCAGCATAACATAGGCTATATCTCCTTCAAAAGATGTAGAAGTTCAATAGAAAAGTTTCACATAGCATATTTTGATAACATTGGGGAGGACTTAATATAAGCCAAAGTGGATTAAACTTTGTATGGGGACTTAATGCTTTAATTTGTATTACTATATTCGAAAATGCATTCCATGTCATCTGTAAAACAGCATTAAACAATAAGATCAATATATGTATCTATATAGGCTATATACGAGGGGTGATCAATAAGTAATAGACGCTTTTTTACATGGATGCTTTTTAGAGACCAATACTTTAGATTTTCTTACCAGTGATACATCATTCAATTATCTATCAACTCGGAAGATTTGAAAACAAAACATGTAATATATTTTGATATATCTTTATTTCCGTGAAGGAGGTTTAGGTACCCCGGGACCAACATGACGTCAAACATTCTGAAGCCATTTTAGCTTGATGTTTAACCTGCAACGCAGTTGAATGCAGGCTGAACAAAACAAATCATTATGGTCATGAATTACCCCATCATGTTATGCCATAGTTGATTTTAAATATTTTATCATCACTATTTTGTATTCATGCCACATTCATTCCACAGGGCCTTCTACATAGGTTCCATCAAGTGCTACATGTACACAATTCCTCATCCTCTTATATATCTCAAGATTGTGAAGATTGTGAGTGTTAACTCAAGAAGGCTGAATCCATTCTCTGACATGGTAGCAAAAATAAATAAGTCACATTTTAATTCGATTAACTTATCCTTAGCAATGATCTTACCAATTTCCTTTTTCCAAATATAAATAGTTTTAAAGCAAATGATAATATCACATTTAGTGCTTCAAAAGATCAGATACATATTAACAAGGCTTTGTATAAAAGAAAACCTCCTACCTCATACCCACCTACATGGAACATGATACAGTCATTGAAGGGTTCAATTTTAAGGATTATTAAATCTCAAAATAGCTCAAATTATTAACATTTCTACAATTCCGGCTTTATTTTATGACTAGACAGATGACAGATCCATAAAGAAAAGCATGTGGATGCATTTTAATGTGTTATGACCCGAGGGCGCCCCGGGGGAATAAATAACTAACGACCGCGAGTATAGGACCATCAAGCCAGATAAAGAAATTGAAAGAAAATGTGCTAAATTCGATGCCCTAAGTGGGAATCGAACCCAGCTGGGATATAGTAGCAACTTGCTATCAAGGGTCGTTACAAATGTACTATTAAACATCATAAACTATGATTTGATAAACTAAGATCTTTGATATTAAACCCTTCAAAGACGTACATGGGTAGGTGGGTATGAGGTAGGAGGTTTTTTATACAAAGTCTATTAACAATAGTAAAATTATTGGTTTGTGTGAAGAAACTGAAGAAATTTCACATAACTATTCAATTGATGGATTCCATGCACCAGTCTGTTTAAATAAAAATTGTAGGTTATCAGTGTATATCCATGAAGATATTCCTTTTGAAATTAGGCACGACTGCATGAATGACTTTGGTAATTCTATTTGGGTGGAAGTTAAAATCAATTTTAAATCGATTCTTTGTGGCACATACTATCGTTCACCATCTCAAAAGCAAGTTGAGACTCAGGAATTTTTTAGTAAATTTTCCATTACGTGTAGTAAAGTGCTTTACTCTGAAATAGACTTAATGTTGACAAAAGGTGATTTTAATGCCAGGTGTAAAAGCTGGTGGGCATTAGATAATGAAAACTCAGCAGGTACATTATTATATGATTAATCAGAGTCGTTAGGTCTTTTTCAACTTATAGATGAGCCGACACGAGTTACAAAGGAGGAGGGAAGTTAGCGCAACAGATTTTGGACAGTCATGTGTTTGATTTTGGCCATTTCCTGGGGATTTAAACAGGTGCATATGTTAGGCGAATGCATTACCTCCAGGAAAACCACTTCTAGAGATGATAAAATAATTTCGACTTTGAGACAGGGTAGATGCAAACAACCCACCCACATGTTTTTTCTGAAATGTTTTCCTGATTTTCAACCCCTTCCATCCTTGCTTTTTTAATTTTTCTTGCATCAATATGTTGCGTTTTGACACACAGTTAATCCCTGAAAAGGAATAAATGATTCCTTTAAGATAAAGCGGAAAACAATATTTCCCATGTTATTTTCCCATAGGAAAAATCATTGCTTTCAGCTTAGTTTGGTCACCCGTAATGGGTATCTTTAAAACTTCTGGCGTCACCAAGAAGCCGGCTTTTAAAAACCGGCTTCGAATGACTTACAGAAGCCAGCTTCTGCAGTTACCAAGAAGCCAGTTTTAAAAGCCAGATTCTCTCTCTCAATCATTTTGTTGTGCATTATGCATCTTATTCTCGTATAATTAGCATGGAAATGAGAAAAAATGAAAATAAGTAAAATTGTAACATATTGCAAGATTTTTTACAAAAAGTCATTTCAAACCAAAACTATGAGAGAAAAATCAATTCTAAGTAAAAATATCGATGAATTAGATCATGTTCACCAAATCAGAACAGATTATGCATTGCATTTCCGTTTAATAAAAACGCACCGCTCATTTCACAAAACTGGCTCCAACTTGGAGCCAGTTTACAGATCAGCTCGCTCCATCTTACACAAGCTATGTAGGGCAATCAAGCAACTGGGAATCACGGGATACTGTCTCACGATCATTTCTATGTGCATTATGCATCTTATTCTCGTATAATTTGCATGAAAATGAGAAAAAACTGAAAAATACGTAAAATTGTAACTTATTTCAAGATTTTTTGCAAAAAGTCATTTCAAGCCAAAACTGCTAGATTGTCCCTACATAGCTTGTGTAAGATGGAGCGAGCTGATTTGTAAACTGGCTCCAAGTTGGAGCCAGTTTTGAAAAATGAGCGGTGCGTTTTTATTAAACGGAAATGCAATGCATAATATATTCTGATTTAGTGAACATGATCTAATTCATCGATATTTTTACTTAGAAATAAATTTTCTCTCATAGTTTTGGCTTGAAATGACTTTTTGCAAAAAAATCTTGAAATAAGTTACAATTTTACGTATTTTTCAGTTTTTTCTCATTTTCATGCAAATTATACTAGAATAAGATGCATAATGCACATAGAAATGATCGTGAGACAGTATCCCGTGATTCCCAGTTGCTTGATTGTCCCTACATAGCTTGTGTAAGATGGAGCGAGCTGATTTGTAAACTGGCTCCAAGTTGGAGCCAGTTTTGAAAAATGAGCGGTGCGTTTTTATTTAACGGAAATGCAATGCATAATCTGTTCTGATTTAGTGAACGTGATCTAATTCATCGATATTTTTACTTAGAAATGAATTTTCTCTCATAGTTTTGGCTTGAAATGACTTTTTGCAAACAATCTTGAAATAAGTTACAATTTTACGTATTTTTCAAAAACTCCAAATTGGAGCCAGTTTTGAAAAATGAGCGGTGCGTTTTTATTAAACAGAAATACAATGCATAATATTTTTGGAATTGATGAACTTGATCAAATTCATCGATATCCATGCTTAGAATTCAATTTACCCCCATAGTTTTGCAAAAATATGACAATATAAACTATATTCAAAAGCCATCTTCTGCAGTACGTCAGTAAGTAAGAAGCCAGTTTTAAAAGCCGGCTTCTTGGTGACTCCAGAAGCCGGCTTCTGTTGTCCTTCAGAAGCCGGTTTTTAAAAGCCGGCTTCTGTAGTACGTAAGAAGCCAGTTTGTAAAAGCCGGCTTCTTGGTGAGTCCAGAAGCCGGCTTCTGTAGTACGTAAGAAGCCAGTTTGTAAAAGCGGTTTTTGCCTTCGAGTACTTCTGGTTGCTCTCGCAGTCGAACGAAACTGAAACTTCTTTTGTCGATATCTAGGTGAGCGATTTTTCAGGCTCTGGTATTTTGACAAAAGTAAGTTCAGGTCGTAGCCATTCTTCGGGGCAGGTTTGAGGCACCAACGATTTATTTTGGAGTTTTTCTAAGGAATTATTCCCGACTTCCGACTATTGCACCTTAAACTCTCAAATATCAAAAGTTAAAAAAGAAATCGAACATTTGGGAGTATGATACTCCGGCACTTTTTTAATAGATTTTCCTCGTAGCGTTATGGGAGTTCAAACAGAAGTGAAAATTTCCCGCAATTGATATATCCATTGCATGGGGTAAGTAATTTGCTTTGGGATAACGAAACATATGAGTTGAAAATAAATTAGGTGGTTTCCTTAGTGTTTTTTATGAAAAATAACATCCTCCGTCATAGCGAACAAATCTTTTATAACTGCCTGTGGTAATTATAGGTCATCTCAATCACCAACATTGAATGAATGCTGTAAACACAGTGTTTAAAAGAGACAATTTCAAATTCTTTCCTTTTGAGAGGATTTATGTATTGTGTTTCGCCATAACATGGAGAACAGAACTATCAACAAAATTTCCTTTTATTAAGTATCATCTACACATGTGTGAATATATAGAGATTATCCTATATGAGGTTCAGGATATTGGGATTATCCCGAGGCCAATATAATATATCTGCCCGAGGGCCGTAGGTCCCGAGGGTAGATATATTATATTGGCCAAGGGATAATCCCAATATCCTGAACCGACTATAGGATGATCTGTTTATCCCATACCAATCACATTGTTCAATTTGCCAAAGTTCAGAAACTTTGCAACCAACCGTGGAATATTCTTAAAATATTCATGTCCAGTTTTGTATTCCTGTTTCTTTTCCTATTCAAATCTTTGATTATTAACGCCGGTACACTGCTCCTTCCCTTCTTTTAAGCATCAAACAGATCGCGATTGTCTGCGTTTTTCTCCATTGTCGTTTACAGTATGCGAACGTTACAAAAAAGGACCAATACGGGAACAGCGATTATGACGTAGCGGGCAGATATACTATATCTGCCCGCTCGGAGCGGGACGTAAAGCTATATCTGCCCGCTGATGAAAATATAAGTTTTTACAAACCGGCTTTATGTACCCGTAACACGTCCAAGTATGGGATAAAACTGAGTACCCAACATGCCTTATTTTATAAAATGTCACGAACTCTAATTGAAAAATGATCGCGCGCATACAAATCCGTATCGGTCGTTTTGTTTATCACAGTCTTCATATGCTGTTATTCCACTTTATCTAAAACCAAGGCGTTGTTGTTTGGATATACCCTGTGCGTAGAGACTAGTTAAAAACGAGAAGACGAAGCTCTATTTTGAGAAGCAAAGTCGAAGACAATTTCTGAAATATCAAATGAAATTGGTTCAAATCTCTATTCATTGGAGTGCTGTTAAAAAAGAAACTTCTGTCATATTTGATAATTTTTAAGTCTTTCCTATATTTTCCTGATCTTCCAGGTTTATCTGCATAAAATCAAGCCTAATGACATGGACATTACATGGGCCCTAATGTAATACTATATCTAGTAATTAAACAATGCAAATATGCAAAATGTCACCACCTGCCATTTGTTACAGAGGCCAAACGCCTACCACCAAGCGTCAAACGCCGTTACAAAAATGTTGGAGTCCATAACAATATGACAATATGACAATATGAAAATTACTACAGGGTGTCCAAAAACAGAGTGTTCAAAAAATTGTACCATGACAAACATGGAATATTACTGAGAGTGATGAGAACGGATCATCTGAACAAATTGTCTTTATCATGTGATAAGTTCAGCTTTTTCGATAGTATTTAATCGTAATTGACGATATTTTCGAGAAACGGGCTCCAGAGTACTTTTCTAGATTATGATAATTTCATACACAATACATAGTCAATCTGTATGATTTCATTTCCCAAGAATTTGTTTCGTAGAATCCATTGAAATTTTAAAGAATATTTTGGTAAAATAGCGAATTCTTGAAACTGAAAACGGTTTCCTGGAATACCTTTTTAACTGGACATTAAGAACAATCACTGTTTCATAGTTTCATAGAATTAAAACTTTTGTAATTGTTATGATTAAGTCAATATACTGATTTTGTGAAGTGCCCAAAATATGTTTGACTTTGGAATGATTTTAAAAATATTCTTGCTGTGAAATCAATCTGATTTAACTTTTAAAAATTGTACAGATTTTATGTTAATTTTTTTATTTTAAACATTTTGTGTTCCAATATTTCATCATTTCTCTTGGTGATAAACGGTGACAAGCAATTATTCTTTTTTTAACCCAACACACATTAAGTTTCACTTTAAAGGTTTTAAATCCTTCCATCCAGCGTACTTTGTATCCCAATGCTTCATTACAAAGTCCAACATAAACATCTTCAAAAAAGAAGAAGGGTATATTTGGTGAAACTCTCACAATGCCCTTGACAACCTCCATAGTAGTGACATAGCCAGGACCGCCAGTACAGAAGAGAGGGTACGTCAAATGAGGGTATTGCACAGGAGAGACGTAATACTTTGATGTCTCATTCCTAATTGGTGAAATACGATTCTGGATGCATTTTCCTAGTATTTCGTTTTTAATTTTGAATGAGTCGATGAGTTGTAAAAGTTTTGGAGTATCCACCCATATATCAATGTCAGTTTTCATAACATATTTAGCATTTGAGCAGAAATCTGATGCCCATTTGAGACCAGACATTGTTTTTAGCGTCAAGTTCTCGTATACATCCATGAAATCTTTGATGAGGATATCTCCATGTTTTTTAGCTTCTTTAAGAGCTCTCGTATTCCGCGTCTGGTCTTTAGCGTGCTTCCCTAATACGAAAACGTACCTCAGTTCTCCTGTGTTCTTGTTAGAAATACTTGTCCAAGTTTTCCGCAATGCGGTCCTATTTATCATTTCATGAGGTGCAGTTGTAATTATTATTAGTAGCTTGACCTGAGTTGTGGAATTATTCGTTGAGCACAAATTATCATTTTTGTAGATGTACGAAGATTGCGGAAAACATGCATCACACTTATCTGGTCGTACTTCTGAAATGTTAACCGATTGGTTCATAGAGAAATTACCACTTTTCCAAACTTGTTGATAATCCAAGAATATGGAACTGGTTTCCCTTGTCGTCTGATTCTTTCTTTGTGTGTTATTTTCATCATTATCGGTAACATTTCCTTTATGTTCATTTATTCCATTTCCAGTAATAAATGTTCCTCTTCTAGAGAATCCAACTGATAATTGTTCTGGTTGACCAGAAGAGTCTTGTGTCTGATATAGTTCTAGTAATATAAACAAAGTTGATGGTATGCATAAGACAAATATGAATATCTTATAAATCCGTATTAACATAATGATTGACTTCTTGCATTTTCCTATACTCTATCGTCAGAAATATTCTGTGTTCTTTTCACATCCCTATTTGATGACTATTTCCAATACTTTGAAACATTTATATATACTTATCCAAATCCATTGGAATTTTATTTAGCTATTGTGGAGTTAAACCGGGGTCCTTTTGTGAACAAAGCTTATACAAAAACAAATCAATTTTCAGATTTAAAATCATTTGGTCACTTAGTTCATGAAGGTTATTGAAGGTTGTGTTTAAGGAAACTCTATGTTTTCCGAGTTGGGAGAGGTTTGACACATGTCATCTGGTCAATTGCCCGTTCATGGCCCTCGTTGTCTTTTGAAATGGACAATGTTTTGCACCCCTCTCTCAGACAGAAGCTTGGAAAAGAAAAAATATGTAGAAGCAGTGTTAGTAGGCAGAATGATTATTTTTACTCGGCTTAAAAATTATATGATTCTACATGGACAAATGTAAGAAGGGCAAATCGCAGTACAATGCTCTGCTCGGTAAAGGTAGTGGCTGCGGAGGCCTAGCTAATTCCAACATCTGCATGTCAAATATACAAAACATATTCCATACCTACAATGACATACGGTGCCCATATTATCAACTATCAACAGAATGATATAGTTGTTCTAGAAAAGACACAACGAGAAATAGGACGGAGAATTCAATCTCTGCCTCACTCAGCTAGTATTCCCATCTCAACTTTGCCCCTGGGCCTAATGGACGTTGAATTTTATATTGACTTTTTAAGAATGATGTTTCTCTGGAGTTCATTGCAACTCCCGAGCGCAAATATATATAAATGTCTTTTCACAATGAGATTTGTAAAAATGCTGCATGTTAACAATGAATGTAATACCTTCTCTCCAATAAAATGCATGTTACTGACATCAAAAAGGTATGATTTACATAACCATGTTCTAAATATGGTAGACTGTAAAATGTTCATCCCCAAAAATAGGTGGAAGAATATTGTGTATAGAAAAACTGCAGCCGTTCAGATGCAAAGGACATTTTTCCAATCGCTAATGTACAAGGGCCTAAACTATTTTAGAATGGGTAACTTTGAAATTCTGAGGCCATTTATATGGTGGAGAGTCGCAAGACTGTTCCCTTTTGCTTTAAGTAGTTGTAAAATAATGGTGAAACTGCTAGCAGATGAACATGCGCTTAGATCAAAATATAGAGGTTCCGAAGATAAATCAGTTATATGCTCAATGTGCAGCACTTATGAAAAAGAAGACATAGAGCATTTCTTACTTAAATGCCCAGCAAATATATATATTATATATAGAGAACAACTTAGTAATCATTGCTGCGAATGGGGTATCCAAATGAACACTAAAAACATTCTTGGCATAGGAATTGAAGAGTTGCACTTTACAAACGAACAACTACTTGTATTTTTAAAAGATATGGCACATATAGTTATGCAACAATATTTGTGTCGTCAACGGTACTTGACAAGTTTACAAAATTAATGTAACTTTATCAGCGTGAAAGGGTGGCCCTCAAGGGACGAACATGGGCCGACCAGGGATTCTCCCTTAATTAACGGTAATATGTAATATGTATTTATTCTGAGTGTACCGACCTTTGGGAAGGTACAATAATAAGCAATGCTTAAGTTGTTTTTTCTGTTTTTTTCCTTGATTGGTAGTTGCAACGTCAACGCGGCAGCCTGACGTATTTGCAACAAACGATTATATCTCTTAAGCAGCCTATACATTTTAGTTTTACTCGCATATTTGTATTTATATTTATGTACATTTACTATACACACTAATTTAGAATTGCACCATAGGGCAACACCACCTTTCTTCAATTTACAAAAATTGTATATTTCTTTTACTAGCTTACAAGATATTGAAAGCATCTCATACTTTCATACAGTACTGCAGTACCGACCTTGGGGAAGGTACGATGATGCGCTCTTTTTTCCTTTTAATTTTTATAGAAAACGCAGATCCATAATGTCATTTTTTATTAATCTTAAGAGTGTTAGGTAACAGGTCTATCTAGGCCTACGGCGTGCGTCTACGCGGTAGCTAGGCGTCGTCGTCAGTACAAAAAACAACAACAAAACAATGAATGTTTGTAAAATATAGTCATTTTTTATAATTACGTTACAATTAGGTGCTAGGCCAATCTTGGTCGGCGGCGTGCGTCTACGCGGTAGCTAGGCGTCGTCGTCAGTCAAAACAACAGCAATATTGTTTGTTTGTAAATAGTGATTATTTTCAATTTAACATTTACATAATTTGTATACATGTATCTCCTTTATATAAAGGGCAATAAATATATACATACATACATACACATGAGGCTTGTGTCTGATATAGTCCTAGTAATATAAACATAGTGGATGCTATGCATAAAACAAAAATGAATATCTTATAAATCCTTAACATGTTGATCTATTGATTGATGGGACTTCTTGCTATCTCCCAAAATATCTTAATTGATGAATCTGTTCATCAGAAATATCCTGTGTTCTTTTAACATCCCTATTTAACGTTTCGTTAAGGTCTAATACTTAATTAATTAATACTTTGAAACAGTAGGTATTTTCGAAATTTAGCCAACATTTTATTAATTTATAATCGAGTTAAACGGTGGCGTTTTATAAGCAAATTCAATTTATTTATCCATTAAGATATACGTACGTATCTCATACTTGAGTGGGTTTGGGGTAGATATCACCCGGGAATATATATCGTATCTGAGGAGCGGGCAGGATATATTGTATATGTCCCGCTCCAGGCCAAATGCGGGCAGATATAATATATCCATCCCGCTCCCGGGAATTTTTCAAAAGTTTAAAAAAGTTTAGATATCAAAAGTTTTAATTTTTTTAATTTTAAAATTTAATTTCTTTTAGTTTAAATGTTACAATTTTATTGTATTGAACAAAAAGAATATTACGAAAATGTTAAATATAAATATATTGCCATTTGAAAAAGGTGGAAAAGGTTATATCTACCCTAAACCCACTCAAGTATGAGATACACCAGTTATGCACGATCGGTTTGGATACATGGAATATCCCTTGGGATATACAATACATCTTCCCTCGATTCCTTCGGTCCCTCGGGAAAATATATTGTATATCCCTCGGGATATTCCCTGTATCCAAAACCTCCCAGTGCATAACCCCTATATATGCTTAGTAGACACCAGTGGCGGATCCAGGAACCAACAAGGGGGGGGGGGCAATTTTCGGTCAAAGAAAGAAATTTGGGCCGAAAAGCGGGCCCAAATTTTCAAATTCTGAGGCCCATTTTCTTCAAAGTTTGGCCTGAAAATAAAAGATAAGGCCTTAGAAGGCCTAGTAAAGACCAAAAAGGCCCACTTTTTGGTTTTTAAGGCCTTTCTTGGTCCAAAATTTTTTTGGAGCACAATTTTTTTCTGCGCCCAACTTAGGGGTGGGCCCCATGGGGTCCTTTTGTGAGCAACAAACCAATTTTAATATTTAAAATCTTATTTGTATACCACTGGGTTAAACTGATATGGTCATTAAGTACATGAAAGTTGTTGAAGGTGTAAGGAAGGTTCTATCTTTCATTTTGATGTAAATATATCTTCGATGAAATTTGCCCAAGGAATAAACCATGGGCTTTGCGAAATTTTTTAGGCCCATTTTCTTTAAAATTTGTCCTGAAATTAAAAAATAAGGCCTTAGAAGGCCCAGTAATTACCAAAAGGCCTAATTTTTGGGGCCTTAACGCCCTTAAGGCATTTTTTGGCCCAAATTTGTTTTGGGCTCAAGGGGGGCGGGCCCCTAGTTGTAATGTCACTCGTCAGGTGGCAAAATATATTTTCAAAAATTGTAAATCTTTTTTCTTGAAGCCTACAAATATTTTTTAAATAGGCTAAGCAGCATCAAAATAAAGCAATATCGTTGAGCTATCTGGGTTGAAAATAAGTTTTAATATGTGTAAATATTTATGCACCATTAGATTCAATGAGAACTCAAATTTTAAAATGCTATTCTCTCTGAACCATTTTCCAGGGCACTTTTCTGCATTTATGAATTAAAATTTCTTGCTTATTTTTCAACAATTTTCTTATTTTTCAGCACAATATAGGTTAGGATGTGCTATACGTTGGTGTAAAAAATGTTTGTGTATGATAGCTATATTTTATTTGAAACAAACTTCTCAAACAAAAAGGCCTTCAAAATCAACATTTAGAAGTTCAATAGAAAAGTGTCACATAGCAAATTTTGATAGCATTTGGGAGGACTTAATATAAGCCAAAGTGGATTAAACTTTGTATGGGGTCTTAATGCTTGTGTTATTGTATTCAAAAATGCATTCCATGCCATCTGTATAGAACAACATCAAACATACGATCGGTATATTATATATATAGCTTCATCAATTTGAAACATATTTATTTCAGTTTATTTATTTATACAATAGTTCTATGAAATATAGACTCCCTTAGAAAATATACATCATAATAGAATGGTGATTAGTGCATCTTGAGATAAACATGGAGTAAATGTACTCAATAGATGGAGTCTTCAATTAGAGCTCCACCTATTGAAGAAAACAGAAACTCCCTAATGAGAGACTGACATCCTATCTATTTATATGTTATTATAAAGAATACAATTTTATCATAAATATATTATTATGTAATATTTTCAGTGAAAATAGTCTTATAGCATATATTGCGCCACATTTAAATATAGCCTTTTTGAATAGTTTTCATCATTCTCACAGAATATACGATTATGAAACTTCATAAATCGCAGGCCTCAATTAAACATAAGGAACATTATTAGATTTTAACAGCGCAAAATATCACCACCAACAAGGAAAAACAAGACATTAACATGCAAAATATCACCACCTGCTATTTATTACAGACAGCGAATACTGAACACCAGAACTGCCAAACACCAACCAAAGGCCAAACACGATCCCCCAAAAAGTTGGAGACCATAACAATATGTGAGCACTTGTGGTGGTGACATAAAAAATTAGGCTAAGAAAATGCACATCTTTGGTTAAAATATAAAATAGCTCCCAAAATCTGATTCCACAACAATTTTTTATAGAAAGAGTGTTCTTTATGTGAAGGAGTGAAACTGTCAGCTGTGTTCGTCAAATATAACATAGAAAATAATTGTTGGAATGTTAAGTACAACTGGAATGTACAACTTACAATATACCAGGTACATTAGATCACAATTCCAAATTTCTTCATTTCCAATTCAAAATATATTTATACATATTATCTTCAGATATCGTAGTAAAGGGTAATTACAAACAGAGCAACAGTACATGCTTGTAATGAACATTTCAAAAAATGCTTGGCAGTTTTGATTCAAGAAAATGTCTTCGTCATCATTTCCATTGCACTTTAGAAAATATAAATTCAGCTAATTTTCAATATTTGCTGTACATAAAAAAGTTCAGATTATTTTATAAACATGCATACAAGTTGTATCTTGCCAATTTGACAATTCTTCGAATCTTCACACCCTGGATACATACATGTATAGCATTGTAAAAAACATGTTTTATGGAACTTGGTTATAGCTTTACATCAATGCAGTGAGATGGACTGGAAAGTGCAAAAAATCATTTTCTCAATTCTTATTACTTTTATATTTTAAAAACTAATTTAGCATTACAGATCTGGTTCATTATGACATATTTAACCTTTTCATTCCAAACCTCAAAGGTATGGATAATAAGGGTTAATGAGCAGCTGACTTTACAATTTGTTTTAAAAATTCACAAAAAAACATTTCTCAAATGTAACTTTTATGATTTTCCCATGCATCAAATTGTTCTTTTTCTGATTGTTTGAGCAAAATGGAAAATGACCATTTAGCAGGCCACCTAGTGGAATGTGCTTTTATGTGCAAGTAGTAATCATTCTTACAAAATATATAGTTTACAGTAATTTAGAGACTGAACAAAAATTTTCATTGTTGGGAAATAACAGCTCAGAAAGCAATCAGGAATTCACAGTACCAAAGAATTTCTAAATCTGCTGCCATTTAGAATTATTTATGCAACATAACATAGGTCCAAAGAAATTTATGAAAGTTAACTTCTTTTGCATATTTTAGAATATCACCAATTGCTGTCTGGGTAATATAGCCTCAAATAGTTTACAAAAAATGGGAATTGAGACATATCAGATGTGTGTAAGTCATAGGGAGTTTTGAGAGTATATTACCCATAATGCATTGCTATAACAGCATAAGATATATGAACTCTACAGGTACATGTGAATCACAAAATAGGGAGGTTTAAGCTTCAGTTTTTAAGAGAACTTATACACGGACATATCGAATTTTGGCTCTTTGGGGATTAATTGTCACCTTGTAGAATTTTTTGTCTGACAGGGTATGAAGGTAAGAGGAAAGTAGTTGTACAAGTACACAGTTGTAATTAGGTGTCTGGAAAAACCAACTGAGAAGGAAAAGTAATCCCTGGCGGTCTAAAACTTAAACTTGTTGCAAATGACAGCTAATGGGGGTCTGGTAAACCAGAGTGTTGGGTTTATAGTACTACACATATTCCCTTGAAGTTCTCCTAAAAGAATAGCTTCATTAACCTCCCTGTTCAATATACTTTTTAAGTGATGTGACATTTGAATCATCCATCAAATAAATTATGAGAAAGATGTACCTACATTGTAAACATGATTAAAAATGCTATCTATTTTAAATATTTCATATCTGCAAGTAAAATGTCATCATGATCCTATACTCAATTCTACAATTGACTCAATTCTACTACATTTCACTCAACTTTATAACTTCAATTTAACAATTTCAGTGAATGTAATAATGCTGAGAGAAAAATCAATGCCAACAAAACAAATTGCTTTCATTTCTATTTAATTTTTACAAAATGAGTTCAAATATGAATTCATAAGTTTCCCTGGTAAGTATATCTGGAAATGACAAGTTGGTTTATCAAATATTTTTCTCCTCAACTGTAATCATAGAGAATCATCATAGCATTTTACTTGCATTATTTGTACAGATCATTGTTTTCAGTTTATATAAATATAACATATAATAATTTCTATTGCATTTAGGATAACATCCTTGTACATATTAGTCCAAAAATGAACAACAATCAAGTTGAAGGGGGCGGGGGGATTTTGCTTAAAAGATTTCAGATCTTCCAAGTTCAAGGGGAATGCATCGAGGATATTCAGGTGAAAGGATTTCAGATTTGCCAATCCTAAACCTCATACACATTTGACACTACAGCAAGCTTAAGATGGATCTACATAAATCAGAGATTGTGTTTGTTTTTGGACTAAAGGATACAATAACACTGCTCAAATTTAATATCATCCTCCTAAGCAAGTATCCAGAATCCGTACCTCCTTCTTCCACCTGCTTAAACCAATACGGAAGCGCCTGATTAAACTGAATCGCGTGATCTAATTATGCGCAATGACTTATACATGATTTTTGTCGCAACGTTGCGACAGCCAGATTGCAAGTTCTTATTCGGGGAAATGCTAACTGCTTATCGCAGGGGAAAAAGAGAAAGATTATATTCTGGATTTTGAAGCCATGTGATCGGAGGATAATTTAATATGCACCCTAACTAATATACACTGTTGCTTAATTATAAAATAAACTTTTTAGTTGAACTTTTCAACCAATTTTTCAACAATTAGATTACTCTTTCAAACAATTCATTTTGTTTAACAATTTATTTTCCTCATTTCTCTCCATCAATTAAATCCCATCATGCTTAATATTCACACGAAAAAATGGTGAGAATAAAGTGCGAGATTAACTATACTGAAAAATATATATGGTGGGGTCATGATTACCCATAATGCATCTATCCTTCTGCTTATCGTATTGTTTCTCTTTAAGTGTTTTATTGAACCAATGCCTATTTGCAAAAAAATATCATAAACTTCTCAATACAAGTTTCTCATACAAAACATTTAATAAATATATTAACATTTGAGTCAATTCCAAAAACTTTCTTTTTTTTGAACAGAAATAAAAAGAAAATTTTTTGAAATTAAATTAAATAAAAACCTGAACATTCAATAATTGATAACTACTTATAAGCTTTTCTTTCTTGTTTCTCTGACCAAAAAGGTCCTTGTTAGGACAGAAATCAGTCCACGATCAATAGATGGGGCTGTGTTATCTCCGCAATGTCCGTTGTTTGTTCATAGTTGTGAGCATGAGACTGATGTATGACGTCAAGAGATCATCCATTTTGTATCCCTAAAAACAATTTAAATTATCATTTTTTGAGAATAAAATGCTTAGAATTTTGATTATATGCGCAGATATAGAAATACACACAAAGCATTCATATAACTTATATAACTAAATGTCTGTAACTGGTTTTATAAAAAATACACAAAAGTGAAAAGGTACAAATGCTTAATGCTAAAAACAATTGCTTTTGATTATTTTGTTTTAACTTTTTTTCTATACAATCCAGTTATGTTCTTATGTGATACATTCCTGATCCAGAAATTATTAATCTCAAACAATTAACATTGATGTATTTTTGGTTTTCAGTTTGATCTGATCTTCAACTCTTTAGTTTTTACATTACTCTTCAATATGGCCAAAGGAATAATAGGGCACGACAGAAATAACATTTTTATTACTCACCAAAGAAGTCTCACATAACAATTTACTGCCGCGTACTAGATTGCCTATTGTCATATGGAAATATGTATTCCCGCTACTCCAGTTAGAGATTTTAGTGAATGGGTGGGTAGCAAGTATCTCCTACAAAAATAATAAAAAATGAAACGTTTGTCGATATTATAGTAATGAGTACTTAGTTTGATATATTTTGGTTTCTGGATGTTTATTAATTATAATCTGCAGTTGGGGATATTGTAGCATAAAAAGAATATACCATGTGTACCATATGTTATAAAAGTATCAAAAATCTGTTTTTAGATCAATATCATTCTACTAATTTTCATGACAGAAAAAGAATATATAATGTAACAAAGAGTATGTCAATTATTTGATGAATACATACCTTTGTCTGGGGATGTATCAGGTTCACTCCAAGTTTGTTGATTGCTATCAATAAAATTTCTGGGAAATTAGGCTCTGTAGTTTGCTGTAAAACAAAAACAAAAAATTGTTAAAATCTGTAATTTTTTTCTTGACAAACATGCTAGATGAAAAAATAACTTCTTTACAATGCTATTTATCCAAGACAATAGTAGATACTGGATTCAGTGTATGTATTGTGACAACAACAAATAAAAATAACAGTTTATATTTAGTTGACAATTCTAAAGATTTATTTTGGATATAATCACAGTAGGTTTTATTCACATGTAAAGTGTAGAACATGTGGCGTGTCATGAGTCATGACCCTATCTACCCATAATGCACCTACCTTCACTTCAAAGAAAGCAGAGCCGAATGTAGGCCATCTATAGATGTGTTTAAGGAATGCTATCTTGGCTTCTTCTTGGTTCATACTGGCGTTCTTGTTATAATTTTGTACAATTGCCTAGAATGCATAAAACAAATGAGCATGAAACACTACTTAACATATAAAAATTGAATATGTAAATAAATTAACAAATGAATCCTTATAATTCAAAACGTCTTAAAAGATACGTTGTATTTGTCAAAAACCATCTTGCAAAATTCAAATTTTTAAAACATTATATCTCAAAACATATGAAAAGTCTATCTTTCCCCACAACAGGTGTACACTTTATACAGCCTCTGTTAATTAAATCCCTGCAAAATAGCACTCTTTAATTCTAATTTTCATCTGTTAACATGATATTGCTGTGGTAAACTTACCCTTCGCCAGTCATCTGGACTCTGTGATCGATGCAAGTCAGCAGGTACAAGTTCACGCATCATCCGTCTGCAAAAATAGAAGTGTAGCTTACAACATTGAAAAATAGATGTCAACTTTAACCAAACAAACGTTATTTGAACTTTCTAGCTTCATCAATTTTTTTTACACAGAAGTAAATCTGTTCCAGAGGGTGAGTAAATCCATTTTGCTCTTATTTTAAAAACTAGTAAAATGTTGCTTGAAATCATATGATGAAGAGAGCCACTTCAAATTCACTGCCTTTCTACTGATTTGTTATCCTATGTTTCATGGCCCTCCTCAAATCCAGGTTTGAAGCAAACAACATATTCCATATCATTTCAAAGCACTTACGGGATATTCTGAAGTCCAGTTTTGTCATCTCCTAATTTGACTCTGTAGATGTATGCCGCCAGAATTGAAGCATCATCCTTAGTACATTTGTGGTAGCCACGTAGCAATTTGGGAAGTTCCTGCAATTAGAAATAGATTCCAAAAAATGTTATTTTTAAAACAATGAACAATAAACAATATTTTTATTTTTCAATATACTGTACGCCCGGTATTATTCGCGTGCGATTAACATTCGCGCTTTTCGCGATGGTGTTAAAATCGCGAAAAATTATCGTCGCGAAATTGCCAATTAAATCCCCGGGAATTTGTTATCATCCGGGGCTCTGATGCATTTTCGTTTTGTGTAGTGTTATTGGGCGATAATTGGATATAGACGATCTTCAGGACTTCAGTAATGTCCATTTTACGTTGGCTGATTCGGCCCAGTACCACCAGTAGGCCCAATAATGATATCGATGACATCATCGCAAATGAAGTGCAAATTGCAAAAGATAACATGAAGTCCAATTCCAAACGCGGGACATCAGGTAAGTGCAATTACTGTATATCTACTAGTAATTTAGCTTGAGAATTCCGAGAATAATGAATTTCAAACTTGTGAAATTCGCGAAATTTAATAGCCGCGAAACTGTGTTTTCGCAAAATTCGCGAAATTAAAGCTCGCGAATAATACCGGGCATACAGTAATACCTTTTGGTTCAATTCAAGGTCATTGTAATTTGTTCAATTTTGAAAAATTTCTAGAAAAATTATATTTTGGGAGATTTAGAGAGTTGTAAGATATATAGGTAGCCTCATCACAAAATAACTTATTATCACGAATGTATCTTTTCTTTAGACTGTTTCAGAAATATTCTAAAATCCTAAACAGAAAATTAGTACCATGGGTACTGGGCTCACATGGTGACAGAAAGAACTGGATATAATTTTTTGCTGATTTTTTGTAACAAAATTATTTCAACCCACTTGCCACTATTCTGGACTGACTGAGAGACAGATGGACAAATCGATTTTAAGTAAAATGGCTGAGAAAAAAACGGATATAATTTTTTGCCAATTATTTGGAACAAAATTATTTCATACAACTACTCTTTACAGTGACATGGCTTTTTGCAATGCAAGACACCTGAAATTATTTGTAAAGCTAGGAAATAGGCCAAAATTGAATTTCGCGAGACAAAAATGGCGACCATTTTGAAATCAGGCAAGCTTTTGAACCAGGAGTCATAGGGGAGTTTTTTTGTATTGATGTTGAACAAAAATAATGTGAAACTGGAATCCTATCAACAGAGGTTTTAAGTAAATGGTTCAAAAGAGGATTTCGCGAGACAGATGGACAAATCAATGTTAACTAAAATGGCTGAAAATAAAAAAACAGATATAATATTTTGCCGATTTTTTGTAACAAAATTATTTCATACAACTACTCTTTACAGTGACACGGCTTTTTACAATGCAGGACAGCTGGAATTATTTGTAAAGCTAGGAAATGGGCAAAAAGTGAATTTCGCGGAACAAGAATGGCGACCATTTTAAAAATAGGCGAGCTTTTGAACCAAGAGTCATAGGAGAGTTTTTTGTATTGATGTTGAACAAAATTAACTTAAAACGGAAATCCTATCGACAGAGGGTTTAAGGTAAATGGTCCAAAAGTGGATTTTGCGAGACAGATGAACAAATCAATGTTAACTAAAATAGCTGAAAATAAAAAAATGGATATAATTTTTCGCTGATTTTTCGTAACAAAATTATTTCATACATCTACTCTTTACATTGACATGGATTTTTACCATGTTGGACACTTGAAATTATTTGTAAAGCTAGGAAATGGGTCAAAAGTGAATTTCGCGAGACAAAAGTGACGGCCATTTTGAAAATAGGCGAGCTTTTGAACCAGGAGTCATAGGGGAGTTTTCTGTATTGATGTTGAACAGAAATAACTTAAAACGGGAATCCTATCGACAGAGGTTTTAAAACAAATGGGTCAAAAGTGAATTTCGCGAGACAAAAGTGGCGGCCATTTTGAAAATAGGCGAGCTTTTGAGCCAGGAGTCATAGGGGAGTTTTCTGTATTGATGTTGAACAGAAATAACTTAAAACAGGAATCCTATCGACAGAGGTTTTAAAACGTGCCACTATTGTTGACGGACGGACGGACGGACGGACGGACGGACGGACGGACAGACAGACGGACAAGTGAGTGATTGCAAAAGCTCACCATGTGAGCTAAAAAACGCACTTGATTGCCTTTGATTAAAAAAATAGGAGACAAATGTTGCTCAGTTTCTGACTTTTGTTAAAGCCTAGGAAAACAATGTTGCTCAATTGGAGACTTACTTGATGATAATGGAAGATAACATCAGCATTTCTATCTTTTCCTGGTACAGTTGTAGACCACAGTTTCTTCATGAAAAACACTTGATACGTAAACTGTGGGTTGATACCCTCTCTTGCCGGGCGTGCTTTTTTAATCCATTCAGTTAAATGTCTTACAAAGTCGAAGAAGAAATCACCTTCTGGTACACTGATGACTTTGTCAGCTATTTTTACAAAGAGGCTGAAGCCCTCAGAAGATTTCAAATCTAAACGGCTCCCAATGTTCTGACAGAAGTCCTTGGCCCGGGTGCTTGAGTCAACCTCAAATGCCTGAAAAGCATGTCAAGTAGAGTTTAGAAATCTTAGTTAAATATATTAATATATGGAAATTACAGTCTTTGCTTTTGTATGGAATAAATTTTCATTTTTAGAACTGGGTGCAAATATGAGCAATTGTTGCAAAATGGTAGCAGCATATCTTGATAAGTGCAAGTGTACTAAACTGAGTGCAGGTGTACTTACCTCATCAGAGTCGTCGGGGAAGTAGACTTTATGGAATATCTGTGTTGTCTTGTGTTGTATGGCTTCTACTTCTACCTGGTGAGGGGGGTACTTTCTTTGTCCATTCCTGAATAAGAAAATATGGACAGAATTATTTACACAAGAACAGTTTGATGGGTTTAAAAGAACTGTAAGATTTCTCAGTCAGCAAGTTGATGAAGTATCTTGATTATTGGTGGTAGATGTATTCAATAAAGTTAGGAACTAATTCAAAAATGGCTGCCTTGGAGCCATTACTTGTTCTAAAATTGTTTTAATTCATTTTGAATTGGTCCAAGATTCTTTAATGAAAACAACAACAATGACTGATTAAACCAAGTAACATCTTTTACCATGTCTAGGTCAATTTTCCAATTGATAGGATGATGACTATGTTCACAGCTATGTACATCCAGTCTAAAGAATACCCTCACTATTACACCAACCACAATTTGGACTTGAAATTCAAAGATCAATTTGATCAAAATTATTTGTAATGATTGACAGAGTGAGTTGGATAGCCTTTGACTTAGGTAACCATAGTTACTAGCAAACCTGACCAGTACAAGATGCATCTTTCGTTAACACACATACCTTAATGTCTTTTGCAGTCTATTCAGGCAATCAGGGGCAAACTGGTTGATCTTGGATCTGAGGAATAACGTAACTTCCTTCAGTAGATTGGTGCTCGGTGCAAAACATCCAGTGACGAGCCACATCAACTCCCAGCCACGCTCCTCACTGACACGATTCCTGTTGTCAGTCAGCTGTTTGATGATTTGACAATAGATCTCATCTCTTAGAAGTTCCTGGAATTGAGACAAAGTTATAAACATCACCCTTTTTAAATCCTTTCAAATGTCATTTATTTCATTCAGGGTGCTGCATAAGTAATGGACAATGAAGGTTCATTACGAAGTTGATAGTTTTAATAAAGAGTACTATTCTATATTAACTACTCCATGTACTTATTAAACTTTTATACAATAAACATTTATTTGGAAACAAATTTAAAAATATTTTCTTACGTTTTTCAGTGGAGGCTCAAAAAGCTGATCTGTGAGCTCATTTCCGTTTCTGCTCCTCCTTGAAGGGTGATCTCCCATATACTTGAGTAATGCTAGGTAGCACATAACAGCTTCTTGTACCAGTTCATCTTTGCCTAAAATACAATTGCATATATAAAATATTGTATCTGTAAGAACTTTTGTCCATTTACATCAATCATCCTATTTTCATATTCGTTTACACCTCATTTCTACCGCCGCATATATATTTTCCAAATAATTCTAATGTGCCATTCAATGATGAACCAAAGGGTACATTTATGGCATCCACAGAAAAACTTCACTTACCCAGTAGTTTCTTCAGAAGTGGCTGTTTCAGGGGCTCCTTTGAATAACGCCAGAGTTCATCTGCCTTGCGTCGTTTAGCACTTGAGAGAGACAGGGTCTTTGTAAGGGTCCTCTTAGGTGGGGGCCTAAAACAAACAAAATTAATATCAATGATTTTTAATGTTTTTATTGGTATATAGGCAATCACTTTCTTATATTCCTTCGAAAATGTAGATCAAAAGAGATAGAAACATGTCCAGTAATAGCCTTCTCCACATACAGTGGATGTACAGGATTTTGAATAATGCAGGTACGATTGTGTGGTATGCATTCTTAGAATGTTTTGAAACAAAATAATTAGCCAAATCCAGCCTTGATTAAAATGCTTAGTCACCTAAAGATGAATAATACATGGTGAAAAATAAAGGATCATTGGAAGTGGGACATGAACACTCGCACATCCACCAAGCTTAAGACAATATCTAATTTTTGAATAAAAAAGGGTTATTAGAGATATAAATAGTGTCACCATATCAGAATTCACAATGAGGCCCAAAAAAGGCCCATAAAGGCCTAACACACAGTTGATCACAGCATCTGGTACAAAGAAGACTGCATAATTTAGTTTTCAAACTGGCATATGTTGCACCATCTAGCATATAACTTTTCTTCTATGTTGCAAAATGTTGTTAATACCTCTAGCCAATATGTAGACTACATAAATATGCTTGTTTACCTAAAGTGGTCGTATGAGTACTCCTCTAAAGTATGCGGCTTTTCTGTGGGTTCAGATGGAGCCATTGCAGCTTGGGAAACAGCAGCCATTTTTTCGGAGGCCTCGCCAGAAGTCTGTGCGAACAAGTTCTGAAAATATTCAAAATAAACGATTGAAATAGAGAATATTGTATCAATGATATATAGTGTAGAAGACTTTTGAAAGGAAAAATCTAATTTATACTCCCCAGAACATATTTAGACAAGGCAATGCAAAATGTGATCACATGCAAAATGTCATCACCTGCCACTTATTACAGACACCAAACTCTAAATGCCGACTACCAGATGCCGAACATCATCCACAAAAAAGTTGGAAACTAACAATATGTCAACACTTGTAGTGCTGACATGAAGACAGTTAACTATGTTTTCTATATATTCCATTTTAGACTGTAATCAGGAAAACACCATCGCAATTTAAATCCAGATTTTTCTGAGAAATAAAAGTGTAATCCCTAGAAATGAGTTACTACAAGTGTGCAAAGTTTGTTTGATGACCTCTTATGCTATGTTATACTCCTCTCTCACTTTTTAAAGTTACTATTTTCCTTTAATAAAACAAAATTTCTTCCGCGTTCATTTGTTTGTTTGTATGACTTTTATTCCCAAACGCCTATACTTACACAGCTCATCTGTGATTTATGATCAATGAATAACTCATGAAATAAAATCACTTCTTGGCAATGAACCAGCCTTTGAAAATGCCATAAGATTTTTTGAAAAAAATAAAAAGTGTAATCTTGAGAAAGAAGCACACATTCTAATTTAAAGATTGTATACTATTAAGTGTAGAAGGTCAGAAAAAGTGATACTGATCTTTTTGACTAATTTTATTCATTCCCATTCAAAATATCAAAAAAATTCAGTTTTAATCGAACATTGGATTTGAATATGAGCTGATATGGTATATCATTATTCAATTTTTACAATGTATGATTTGTCATTATCATTTAAGTAAAACACTTGAGTTTGATCATTCAATAAAAAGAGAAAAAAATTCAGATTAACTTAAGGATAACTAATGTACAGATTACATTCACTTAACAGTAAACAACCTAGAAAACAAAGGTTGCGTTGATCGCATTTTAAAAAGTAAAATCAAGTGACAAAGCGAGGAATTAGCAAGGATTAATTACACAGCAATGCAGTCAATACTCGAAATTGTATATAAATACAAGAACACCAGGAAGTTCATTCAAATTTGAGAAAAATGTTTGAAATGGGTATGACCTTAAAGTAATTTTAAGAATGGGAAGAGATTTATGATGTTTCCCTAGAGCAATCCAATAAATTGAATATCAGGATGACATTGTGTTAAAACATAAAATACAGTGGAAAACATGGAAAGAATTAACATGTTTGAAGGTTATAATCTAGTATGTGTAAAGATGAATCAAAAATTAAAATAAATTATAAATCTAAAATTTTTTGAAACTCAACAGAGAAATGGTGTTAAATAATCTAAAGTGTTTTGATATTTTAAGCATGTTTAACTATTAACACAACTGCAGTTAATAGATTTTGAGGTCATACTAACAGGTAATCAAGGGAAACTCAAAAGTATTGGGTTATACAAAAGGCCCTTAAAATTGATATATTTCATTTAAAGGTCCATCATTTAATACCTTATATCTTAACCCCTTCTTGTTGCATAGAACTAAACAAGGCATTAACATGCAAAATGTTACCACCTACAATTTGTTACAGACACCAAACACCAGTAGATACGTGTCCACAAAATAGCTGGATTGAATGACTGGTAATAACCTACAGAAAAACTTGAACTCTATTTACTGACTTACCAAGATCTCTGGAGGTGGCTTTGTAATGGTGGGTAGGACGTATACGCATTCAGCAGGGAAATCTCCTCTCTGTCCCGTACGTGCACATTCCCCGTAGCACCATCCGGAGTTCATGACGGCCTCACCATTCTCTTGCTCCAGAATGATCAGGTCGCCTTTAGTAAAGCTTAGGAACGATGATCCTTCACCTGGAAATACAGTAGGCAAAGCAATCGTCAGTTTTTTGAAGCGTTTCATTAGTCAATCTGCCCCCAAATATATTTCCAAAATGGGCATATTATCCCTGGTCTTTGCTGAGAATACGTGTTCAAATCAAATGTTTTAGAAAAATAGCAAATCGTAGATTAAAATCAAATAAAATTGATCACACTGTCCCTACCCTAGTAACAATAGTCCTTTATTACCTGGAGATTTATAGTCCTGGAGAGCAATAACAAACTTTGACCTCTTCTTCAGTCCCTCGAGGAATGTGACAACAAGATCACGGATGTCTTCTGCATTTGGTGACGTGAAAGTGTACTCGTCACCTTTTACAGTAGCCAAAGTAAAGCTCTGCCCATGCATCTTGCCAGTTCTAGAACAGAAAAACTAATTTTTGAGGCCACTTGAAAATGTTGTCAACTGACACTTTAAAAATCATTCTTTGATGGAAGGTTTTTATTAACAAAAATTCCACTGAATTCAGAAAATAATTTTGGTCTTGGTTCTCTTCCATTTGGTTCATCTACTACACGAATATACAAACCTGCTACTGGAAACAGCAGTGATTTCTGGGAATGACAGTTCCAGCAAAACTTGTTCCTGGTCATCTACCACGTAAACTCCAGTCCAATTGACAGCAATAATGACATCATTCTTCGGCAGGCTAGGACCAGCAAATTTATAAGCTTCGTAAAATCTAGAGAACAACAGTGGCCATTTGTATTTAGCATAATTGACAATGTCCTCCTTAACACGAAGTGGTGGAACTCGATCCCTGGCAAAGTAACTTTTCTTGTGTGCTCCCATTACTGCATTCATCCAATAACTGAGGGATTTTCCTGGAAAAAATACAAAAACATATATGCGTCTGTTGTGATTCTGATGCATTATGGGAAGGGATAATATTATGGGATGTAGTATAAATGCATTATGGGAAATGAAGAAACTATAACTGGCTGTAATCTACAGTCAAATATGCATGAAGGAAGTAAACACTGAAGGCACTTGGGTTTTATGTATGCAAATGTCATGATTACAATGCATTAATTGTGAAATGGGTTACTATTATGGGATACAATACTCCAATAATCATAATGCTATCAGATTTAACTTATGAATCTAGCATTTGCACTTGGGTTTCATAAATGCGTCTGCTGAGATCCTGATGCATTATGGGATGCAAAAATACTCACCAGGTTGTAAACTGCTGTCAGGAATGTATGATGGCAGTAAGGATTGCAGACGTTCAGGTATCATATCTGCCCCATAGTCAATGTAGTACTGCTGAGCAGCTATTATTGCAAGATCTTCATCCTAGACAAAACAAAATTGAAATAATAACAAACAATGGTCATTAACTTTATACATTATGGTCATTAAGAAATAGAGGTGACTTTTTTAAAAAATAAACAGTAACATCACCATGGTGTGATGCACTTTTACATAGATTTGATAAGACAATTTCCTTGTTTCAAGTATTGAAGATGACTGGATGACTGTTCTTCTGAACAATTTGTAACCAACCTTATCACATCTGTATTCGCCAAACTTGATTCCACGGACTACTTGTTGGTAGATCAGGTTGGTTGCTATGGCATCCTCACTGGGATCGTGCCATGGAGCGAAAATCTCCTTTCTGAAGAACAATCTCCAAGGTGCATTTCTTTCTTGTGCTCCTTGCTCTTTGGCGTATTGCTCGCATTGTGAGATAGCATCCATGACGTGATCTCCTCCACTGCCCAGTGATGACACCTATAGTTTTAATAATTTTTCTATTTATATTTAACCTATTTACATCATTTTATTTGTTTTCCATAAAACTAATGGAGCTGATAAAAGGGGCATTATGGAATATAGTATGGCCCCTGCATTGTATTTTCTATTCAACTAAAAAAATTGAACGATAAATCAAAAGGAGAAAGGTCCAGTAATACCACCATACAGACATGGTGTTACTGTTTGTAACCTTTTCCATCTCAGAAAGCATGAGGAATAATATTTCGTTCTCCACTAGAAACTTTAACAACATAGGATAACAATGTTGCACACAATTAGAACAGGATATAACTGTTGCATAATATTTACCTTATCAAATAGAGCAATATAAAGTGAGAATCCAAACTGATCTCCAAGACCTATTTTTTCAGACAACTGCTGGCAGAGTTCTCGTGCAGTCGTGGCAGAGTCTGCGAGCAATGTCTTTGTGTTTCCATCCATGAAAGTAATAGGCAGCATCAATGGTTTCTTCGATTTTGTGGCCTATAATCAGAATAAAAAATAATAATTTTTGATTATATTTCCAGGTGTAATAACTACAATTGTAGCACAATTTTAATTTTTGTGATAAGACCGGTTTTCCTATGGCCAGGCTCAATTATAAATTGTTGAAATGCATTTCAAACAAAATAAAGATAAAAAAATATTTAATCTGCACCAATTTCTATTTATTTGTGATTAGAAAATTATTCTACAAAAATATTTTAATTAGTTTAATTTCAAATTTTTATCACACTACTTGAACCCTTTTCCTAATCCATGATCGACCTTATATCTAATTCTCATAATGATTGCCAATTATCAATGCCAAACATGACTACTTTGATCAAGGCTATTCCACACATTTTTGAGTTAAATCATGTCTGATTTCTTTTTGCATATCTGTATGGCTAAAAGTGTAGCTTAGATGCAGGGCATTTACTTCATTCCTTGATGGCTGTAGGCGATACAATATGTCTCATGCAATTTCCATTTTAAAACATTTAATATAAAACCTGCTGAGTAGAACACCTCTACAAGTCTTGAAAGTTCCATTACACATTTTCTTAAAACTGCTGTAAGTAGAACAATTGTGAGAAGAAGTAGAACCTCCCAATTAGCTCACTATTTTGAGGTACCAAATGTGTTCCACTTATACAGGTTTTATTGTATTTTCTCACCATAGGGATATGATTGTATATTGTGGTATACTCCTCCTCAAGTGAGGCCAGAGACATGAGAGAAGTGAGGCTCCAAATGGTAGAATGAAGATGACATTTCACCATGCCCTCCTCACGATATTTCACCATACCTTGCCCCCTCATTTTATCTAATTGGTAACACCAAATGTTCAGGGGGAAATGTTCAAAGCAGACTTGTAATTAGTTCTTCACTATCAGATATTAAAATGAGAAATGAGTGTCCAATTTATTTCCATGGCTTGTAACTTCTATCGATGCATTATTCCCATTTACTTTTAAAATCATCTTAGCACTTTTTAAAAATTGTTTATTTGACATGTGTCTGATATAAAAGAATTGCTGTCTTAGCATCAGTTTATGAAAAAAATTATGAATATTCATCCAATGTCAGTTTTGCAAATCACACTGCAACTTTTTTAAAACAGTCCAAGCATTTATTCCTTTGATTTCAAATAATTAAGGCATGTACTTTTTTGATTACAATCAAAACACCTCATTCCAGATTTATGAACATATATCTGAACAAAAATCACTTTTGCAATCTGTCTACCTACTTAATCCAATGTATAAATAAATGAATTTAAATCTATTTAATCCAAAATTTGATAATCCAAGTCTAGCTGATCTAGCATATGCTAATCTTGGGCCAGTAATGAAACATGTATAACTGGACAATATATGTTGGAAATACAATATGATTTGATATTAATGAAGCATTGAGATTTCCCTGCAATCCAATAATAAGTAGATGTTTAATTAAGATCCACATTAACCCTTTGCTGCAAAATCACATAAAACAAAGGGGAGTTGGTCCATTGGGTAATTTTGTATTGCTTCACATTTTGCAATCTTATTAACCTTATAACTGAACTCGGACTCCTTATATGTGAGGTGATATAAAATGTGAGGTGATATAAAATGTGAGGTGATATAAAATGTGAGGTATGAGATGTGAGGGGTCATAAAATATGAGGTGTCAAAAAGAACAACAAATGTACATGTCGACTGGTTACTTTCAGCAGTCAAAGGGTTAACTAAAAGCTAGTTGTACTCAAATGATAAATTATTTAAACTTATTTAAATTGAAGGCAAATGTTACATAACATAGAAATGCCTATGGACAAAACATATGCATAATTTATATGTTCAACAGTAGCATCTATCATCATCCAAAACTGACCTAGACTTATATGAAGATGATATTGTATAGTCTCATATCTGCATATTATCCTGGTACATAATCTGTTATATTTATCAACCATAATATCAAATATAAGAAATATAAAAGAGTTTTTACTGCTTTTTAGCTCAGACATAAGTTGAGCTATTGAAATCTCTCACTTGTTTATAATTCTATTATTTACTGAATCTAACCTTTCCAATTATTTCATTTTGCTTCCTTAAAAGTGAGCTTTATCTACACTGTCTTAGAATAAAAGATAATCCTTCGATGTAGCCCCTTTTTTAATTAGTATAGGTCCAAAAAAGTAGCAATTCAATCAGAATTGCAATCCTATTGACCAATGTTATAACCGTATAAGTTAAGAGGTGAAATTTAATTCATATTCAAACTCAAATGAAAGGCAATGACAGTTACATTTGGGGTCATTAAGATCTTAACAGCATCAAAACTGAATACTTCTAATCAAGATTTTTACAATGTTCATAAGCCTTGCTTATTCAACGGGACGGCATCTTTTCCATTCAATCAAGGTTGGGCCATGCAGCCGAAGGTAAACCATACAACCGAAAGTTAAGCCACACAACCAAATTTTGCCGATTCAATCTGACGTAGAATGCCGAGCCTCTCTTTTTGACCAATTATAGACATCCTCTTCACATTCGTGGTACCCTCGGCCAACTTCGTTTGCAAAGAACATCTTTGGCAATCTCGGCTTTTCTTGAGGTATCTTCGGTTGCAAGCCAAAAGTGGACACTTCTTATTCAACTCTTCACTCTTCATAGACTGTACTATAATCTTAAACCCTCTCAAAATGACCACTTTCTCACAGTTCTAATTTTGTAATCTCCCATTGAATCCCTTGTTCGAGAAAGCGTGAAACGTAAACACATGCAAAACCTAACACTTTTGGCTGGTCCTACACCCCCAAAATGCAATCTGATTTTCGACGCCGTTTTGGTGCCAAATTTCGGTGTCGTTTCGACACCAAATGGACTGACTAGTCCGGTGCCAAATTTTGGTGTCGAAAGGTTTCGGTGCCGGAACAGCGCCGAAATGGTGCCGGAACAGCGCCGAATACTTTTGATGCCAAAACGGCGCCCAATTATATTGGCTGTGTAGTGTTATTCATATAAGACAGGTTTAATCGTATGTCCACAATGACACTTGAACTGTCAACCTACCTGAAGCTCTAGCCAACTGGGTGGCTGGTTCCTGGTTCCGTTACCAAATGTACGTCTCAATCGCTCCTCACAATAGGGGGCGTATCCAGGTGGACCATCGTTGATAAAGCATCTCAAGTACTTTACAAACTGAAAAATATCAACTTCAATTAAGTACGCTTACAAAGAATTAGCATGCAGTATGTACAGATATTTTGCTTACCTCTGACAATTGCAAACTGATGACATATTTTTCAGATTTAAAAATAGTGTTTTAAGAGAGGTGATATTGGACAAGAACAATGATCTTTCTGTCTAACAATGAAAAACCTAGGCATTAATTTGTTGCAAATTGGGAAATTCACTTGTATGCTGCTATGGAAAAACATCAGATTATTTTGCTCCCACTACTTAGTAGATTCTGTAAAAGCAAAATATTGAAAAATCCATGAGAAACTCTCACCTTTTCCGAGGGTGCAAAGCATCCTACACAAAGAGATAGTAGGATCCAGCCTCTGGCATGTGAGCTCTTGGAAGGATTCTTAGTCAGCTGTTTACAGATCTGGCAGTAAATCTCATCCCTACAATAGCAAGGAATAAACAAAGAATAGCTAATTATTCAAATTATATTCCTCTTTTTTTCCCTCCATTATGCGTAAAATGTGTCGTCTGCTACAAAAGTGCATTATGGGAAGGTTACAGTAATACAAACACTGAGAAATAAAAGTGATTGTCCAGATTAGTTCATACCTCAATTCAGGTCTGAGGATACCATGACCAATGATAAAATGTAATTTCTCAAGATTTGAAGTTGGTCGATCTTCAAGGAGTGCATTTCCTGATCCTGTGTACTCGCCATCTTTTAATTTGTTAGCAACTTCTTCAGTGATCTTTGACTTCTTTTTCAGCGTCAATGAGACGAGCTTTTTGCGCATACTTCTTTTTGCAGCCCTTGCTGGTAGTGTAGGTTCTTTCTCCTGTAAAATATATAAAACATATTTTGGTCCATTCCTTGCTTTCCTGGTTAGAGACAATCCTAATTCTTGCCACAGTCTTAAACAAATTATGTTAAATTCTTTCCTCCCAGAAGTCATTCGTCATTACAGGCAATCAAAAATTCTTGCCTATTCAAGCTGAACACTTTCCGAAAATATCAAATATGCTATTGATGTTCTTAACTGAGAGTAAACTTGGTCACTATAGTAAATCTTATATGTTAAGATAGTTCCGTGGTACAGTTTTAAAACAAACAAACATGAACAAATAACATTTTTACTTACAAGTTCTGTTCCCATACGTTGAGCCTCTTCCAAGTCTTTCTTATTGAACTTGCGTCCAAGAGTGGAGTAGATCTTCGTCATAACTGGTGTTGTATCTTTTGAGTCAGACATTGATGTGTGGTATTTGGGTTCTGGAAGATCTCCCATAAATCGCAGGATAGTAATCCAGACAGCTAGTGATGCCTATAAAACAGAGGCATTATGGGTAATATTATTTTAATTGAGCATTTCAATCAAGAAAATTAATAATGCATAATGGTTATATAGAAAAGTAGTCTGCAATATTTGATGCATTATGGGAAAATTGTGTTGTGTCGTCTGCTTTAGAAATGCATTATGGGAAATTGTAAGACAGTGATACATACCAATTGATCTCCTTCATTCTTCAGCTGTAACAATGGCTGCTTGATTACTCTTCTTATATACTCCTGATTGGTGTTTCCTTGGAAGTAAGTGGCAGCAAATTTAGCGAACTTATACTCAGAGATGTCTTCATCATCGTCCATGAGGGGTACAGGTAATCTGACTGTGTCGTAGCCATTTTCCTGCATGGCTCGTTTTCGCGACTCTTCCAAATCCTAAAATTGGAAAAATAAAATTATTTTGAAGATCTTTGATTTCGAAAGGATATTTTAGAACTCCTTCCATGAGATCAACACTGATTTTCTATAGCTTTCTGTATAAGGCAACTGCATGTAGTAATTAACAATTTTACCAAAGATCTATGATGTGTCATAAACATTTATTCTAAATCATTCTTGAAGCAATCCAATTAACAGGCGAATTCCCCTCACTCTTTGAATCATATTTCAATCCAACTCAGGAACGGTTTTTCAAAAAAAAACTTTTATTAAATATTACTCATACTGTCATATGCATCACTACATTTATCACTTTATCATAAAATTCAAAATAGTATGGATACATATCAAAATATTTTGGGAAAATGTGCAGTAAAGCCTGTCTAAGTGGAACACCTTTGGTATCTCTAACAACTGTTCCACTTGAGAGGTATTCCACTTATACAAGATCATCTAACATCAAGTCAGTTGGTCTTGGGACTCTGAAAAGTGTTCCACATCTAGGTGTTCGATTTCACAGGTTCAACTGTATTTCCCTTAAAAATTGTTTTTGTTGTTCCTTCTGAGATTGACATTTTCCTTACCTTGAAGGCTGCTGGTCCAGTTGTTTCAGAATCTCCTGACTGATCATTAATGAAGCCAAACATATCATCAACCTAAAATACATACAGTATATTTCAGTTATAACATTGCTTACAACTATAGTTCTACAACTAGTGCTATATTTAAAGAGTTTAGCTAACATTGGATCTCTGTAAGGCATGTTTTAATGAAAGTTAAGAATGCTGTAAATAGATGTATAATCATGAGTATTTTTTTGCTCATACATAGACCAGTGATGCAATGAATAATAATTACTTCTAGTATTTAGATCTGATCTCATAGACCAGAGATGCAATGAATAATAATTACTTATAGTATTTAGAAAAAAATAAATAAATAAAATAAATAAAGTATTTAGATCTGATCTCATAGACCAGTGATGCAATGAATAATAATTACTTCTAGTATTTAGATCTGATCTCATAGACCAGTGATGCAATGAATAATAATTACTTATAGTATTTAGATCTGATCTCATAGACCAGTGATGCAATGAATAATAATTACTTATAGTATTTAGATCTGATCTCATAATCAGTGATGCAATGAATAATAATTACTTATAGTATTTAGATCTGATCTCATAATCAGTGATGCAATGAATAATAATTACTTATAGTATTTAGATCTGATCTCATAGACCAGTGATGCAATGAATAATAATTACTTATAGTATTTAGATCTGATCTCATAATCAGTGATGCAATGAAAGCTACATCAACTACTATATCCAATTATCTCCCAAAGGAGAAATCTCTTCCTGAAGGAGAATCCTCCAAGGTCACAGGTCGAAGGTCACAGCCATTCTGATAAAATGAACTTGGGTCTGGGTCTTGCATATATTTATGCTTCGATCATTTTTTAAGTCCATAAGTTAAGTTCATTGTTCCATTCAAAATGTTTACAAAATTATAAATAGAATATGACACAGAGCGTATATTGTGTTAATCATCAAAAATCCACTTCACTAAAGAGGACATACAAGTAAAACAGGATAACTGCTTACCATTTTGCCGTCATCCACTGGCTCATTCTTGCGTAGTTCAGCATTCTCAATTGCAGTTTTCTTCTGAATCATTTCCTTGCGCTGTCGGTCTTGTTCCTCCTCGGCCTCCTTTTCAATTTTCTTCAGACGCTCCTACAAACAGAGACATCTGGTGTTTAGAATGAAGAACATAATCAAGTTTTGGGGGTTACTACCAGATTCTCCACATAGACAGAAAAATATGAAAATAGGAGAAATACAGTTACAAATTCAAGGAGTTTTAGTTTTAGCAACTTCATGTATATTTCTAATTAAACATTTGAATTAAAATCATATCTAGTAAATGTGAATCCTATGTTATTACCAGCTCCACTGGGGTCCACTCAGGTACCCACATCATGCGATCAAACACCATTTTAGAAATATAATTATCAAGTGTATGCAAACACCATCTCTTTTATATTGTTGATTTTAATTGAGAGTAGATGCTCTTATTCCTTCATGGATGTTGTCAAAATCCATCCTGAATGTTACTTTTCAGATGAAAAATGATTCAATGTGTAAATCCATTCTTCTGTTTTAGTTCCAATAGTTAATGCCACTCCCAATTTTTCAGTTCTGTATTTGATATTGAATGTTCATTTATATATCCATCTAGTTCATTTTGTTGGAAGGTATTCCTCATATCCGTGTATCACTTCACATCTCATTTTGAAAAAACAGACTTCATATAATCATTTATTATCAAATCTGTCAATATCCAAGTACATTTCAATTTTCGGAGATTTCAGTAAACTGTTTCCAACATAAGAATAGTACTACATAGCCTATTAGGCATAATATCCAATCAAAAGTTTTGAAAATACTTTTTGAAAGTTATCTTCCTTCATGTTTTTCGACAAATGGCTTCAGTGTTAATACAAGAATATTATATTTGTCCTAAAGTTGAAACATCTCCGTGAATATATATTAGAACTGGAATTGCTTTTCAATTGACCTTATGATTAGTACCTATATATTCTTCCTGTCAAAAAGCAAACTAACATGGCCCTTTACATGTGTGAGGGTTATTATACAGTTTAGGGGCCAAATTAGAAAACTGGTAAAAACGAATATGTATTAATTAACCTGACAAACATCTGTGACCTATTACACTAATGTTGAGACATTCTTAATTCTAAATTAATGAACATTAACTTGGACACTGATAAATATAAAGTAGTCATTAAGTACTTTGATTGGTATATATGCACATGTCTGTTGTGATTCTGATGCATTATGGGAAGGGATATCATTATGGGATATTTATAATTTACCTGACCTTTAGCACTAAGTTGCTTTTTATACTTAAGCAGTACATGTATATGCTTTATGATTTAGTAAAACCAATCACATAATAGGAAAATGGCCTTTGACCTTTCATATGTGATTGATATATTGCAACAAAGCTGACCAGAATAAAATCTTCAAATGCATGACTCTCTAGTTTAATGTAAAAAAATGTTATGTGAATTGTCGGATTCACAACAGGTGTTGAACTGTTGGTGCACTGTTTTTATAGTGTAAGATTACGTCATTTTAATTACCATACATTGTCGAGTTAAAAAACTGTCTATATAGAACATATTTTCTATCTTGAGACATCTATCTATAGAGCTTTGATCATGCATATTGCATTGTACATTATATATATAGAACTCAAATGAACTTCTTGACTTTCTAGTATTTACTCTGTCAACTACATCCTTGTTTAGTTTATTTCCCTCTCATCATAAGTACACATCAAAAATTCAACTCAAATGGCCTCAATGACACTGTTCCCATGAGACTTAACTTATGCATGTATTTCATGCATGTTTGAATTATTAATTACCTGATGCAGTCTTTCAGCTTCTGCCTTTGCCTTCTTTGCATTCATCTGGCGCCGTAATTTCTCTTCCTCTTCACGACGCATGCGCTCAGCCTCCATTCTCTTGCGATGCTAAAAATAACCAAATATGGTGCTAAGTACAATTGTTTGCCACAAGAGAATATTCAGTCATGCATTCATTTTTTTAGACAAAGGCTATAATTTTTCTTAATAACAACCTTTTTTTAAATCGTGACTGTTGGTGATCAATTTTCTCGAAAACAATCGAGTATGTAATTCAGAAAATGTGTTTCGTTTATTTGTAATACCTCAATCTTCATCCTTTGATACAGCTTCTGTGCGAGTGCACGTCGTATTGCAGACTGCAAGACCAGTACACCCTTGTGGCGTCTCTCAACTTGACGACGTGCCAGGTAACCACGGCAATATTTCTGGAACTCAATCATTTTTGAGCGGAGTTGGTTGAAGCGGTTTGTCAGCATACGAGAACGATACAAGGCCTGCATTCGCATCATACCTTGACGCATCTGAAAGAAAAAATGTTTCATGATACATATTCGAAGTTCATATTGTGTTTTGATTGGTAGATGTTACATAACTGACAGAACACAGCTTACAAGTAAATGTTTCAAGTATTGTTTAAGTTTATAATATTTCTGACGAGTGAAACATGCAAGTTTATTGTCTCATTAAAATCAGTTAAATATTTCTTAACCATTCCATGTTTAAAGCAAGTGTGCAGTTGTCAACATTATGTTATAATTTTATATATTATCCTTGAAATTGAAAGTTATTCTCAGCGATTGTTTCAATTTTTATTAAAATTCATACCTTTTCATATCGCTTTTTAGCTGCATACCCCTTCAATACAGCCTGTAATAGGACAATAGACTGCCTCATTCGCTGGTACTTCTTGCGGGTGAACCAACCCTTTAGCACCTTTTGGATGACAATGATCTTGGCCGCAAGCACTCGCTCTCTTTCCTGCTCCAGAAACACGTCCTGGGCATCCTGCAATGCATTTTGGGAAATTGATATTCATGACGTGGTCAAGTATGAAACATATACATACATATAAAACAAATGTTTATGAAAATAATTGTTTCATATAAAACACTTCTTTTCTAAGTCATCACTCACTTGAAAGATCACAGTTTACCAAAGTGAAATCTGCCATATAGGAAATTCCATTAACTAATAAGATAAAAAATGAAGTGAACATGATTACCTTCAAAAAGACCTTGGTTTTCCCAAGTTGGAAATCAGCAGATCCTAGCACAGCTTTGCAGATTTTTAGTGTTGCACCTGGAAAATAAGTCAAAATTGCGATTAATCTCAAATACTTCTAATTCATAAACTTGAGATTAAAGGCATGTTGAAGTGACTTAATTGTGTATGATGGTAACAAAGTACTGACATTTCTGAAAGATTAAATAATAGAAAGGGGGATGGACATTTTTTTATCCTGTCCATTTAGAGAATTTGTAAATATTCGTTCTTAACATATGGGCACTTAATCAAAATAGCTTCGTAAGAATATAAAAAAACTACCACACAGCATTTATTAAAACCAGAGATTTTGTACTAAAACTAAAGCTACTAAAAATAAATATGATTTTCAAATCAAATTTTCAAAAAAGAATTTACCTTTACATTCCTCTACCTGAGCAGGCCGTACCCCAGACACTAGAAGGCGGTATCGATCTACAAATTCAGCAAATCTATGACGTATTGGATATCCCGCCCTCCTGATCCTAATGGTCTCCATCATCCCAGAATACCTCAGCTGACGTGTACACAGTTCTCTGTCAAACATCTGAAACATTCAAAACAAACATTTGTGATAATCTAACATTTTTTCTACCCCATTGCATCATTTCAAAATATGCTTTAGCAAATAGTAAGCCACACCGCATTAATACAACAATATGATCGAAAGATATCTAAAAGACCTTTTTGGAACTTGATCATTTTACCTTACCAAATTCACACTTTCATTTCATCTTCAAAATATACATTCATGACTGTAACCCTGACATTGTGACTGTAAATTTTGACTGTAACCATGGCATTGTGACTGTAACCATGACATTACAACAGTAACCATGACATACATGACTCTCACCATAACATTAGACTGTAGCCATAACACAACCATAACCACAAAACCAGGACTGTAATGAAAGCATATTTCTTATATCACTCACCAATGGCTTCTTTTGTTCATTCGGCTTGATACATCTCACAAAGAATGGCTGACAAGCACTTAGAGTCTTCATCAAGGATTCTAGAGATTTCTTGAACTGTGTGCCAAGTGTTGGGGTACGTTTCCTCGTCTCTGTACCCATTGTGTACTCCTTCTCAAACATCTTGCTAAGGAACTTGTTGCCAGAGGTCTGTATGAGCTGTACTAGATCACTACTAAATGTGTCCCTGTTCTTCTCAAGGAAACCTGGAATAGGAATGTTTGTCTTTAAGTAACACTTATACACAGTCAATATAATTCGGCACCGTTTTGGCATCGAAAAAATTTGGCGCTGTTCTGGCACCAAAACCTTTTGACACCAAAATTTCCCACCAGACTAGTCAGTCCATTTGGTGCCGAAACGGCACCGAAATTTCGGCACCGAAACAGCGTCGAAAATCAGATTGCATTTTGGAGGTATGGAGGAAAGATCTAGGGGTACACAATAAAAGATGTTGTCAAATGAGCTGTTCACAAGATCACTGTTTCTCTCAAGAAATCCAAGAATATGAAGTGTTGCTTCAAAACTATTTTTGGGAAATTTCTATACTAGACTGCTGCTTATGTATTCCCATAATAATAAAATTGGAAATGTTGAAACATGGGACAATATGGGACTGCATTAGGATAATCAGAGAAAATGAGGATAAATAGTGAGAAAAAGATGAATGGCATTAAAGTTATATTTTGTAGAAGCCACACTACAAGTGCTACAACAACAAAATACCATCAACATACCTCTAGAATCATAAAACACAACCCCAGCAAAGTGGTTCAGTCCAAACATGACATTGATGTCAGATTTGGGCTTTAAGTAGTTCCTGTTGTTGCCATGAGTGGCATGTAATTTGTTCAACATACTAGCATCGTTACCCTGGAAACACAGAACAATCAACATAAACAAATGCATTATGGTTCTTTATAATGCCTCACCACCGACATATATGGGGCATCATCATTATTCAATCTATTTTAATACCCTTCAAATTCCCAATAAATCCATTTAAATTTTCTACAACACATGCTCATCACTTTTATCGCAGACACTGTGGGAATTACACTTTTAAAAAGCATTTATTTAAAACAGTTGAATCCACTCTTGCAGAAAATTCTTACTCAACAAAATATAATAAAATGGCAAAAAGTAGCAAATCAACCCAAAACTTGTGAAAGTTGACAACTACTTGTGAAAAATATTGCTCATTTTTAGCTGCGCAATTGTTACAAGTTGAAAATGTCTATTAATTTACGAACCCGTGGAAACTTGGATTCCTCATCAACAAGGGCAATAATATTGAGTGGCTTCACTGCAATCATGTCTAAGGCATCTTGGTTGTCAACGAACTCTATATGGTGCCAGGTGATGGACTCATTGTTGTATTCTTCCTGTAAACACATGCATAATGGGTAATCAAATCCTCTTGTGGCATTCAGAAATTATGGGTAATATGATGCATTTGTGTTATCATGTGCTTTTCTCTTTCTTTACAAAGGATTTTTATTAATATTAATTAATGCGATTAAATACTTTATGAAGTATGGCCAATGCTCCTGTTTCGATCAAAATTATAGAGTCAAAATTAGAATTTTCACTAAACCGGTTTAAAAAAAATACTATTGTTTATGTGTCAATGTACAATTTTTAATTCCTTCTCCTTTAGTTTGCATTTATCAGCAGCTTTGCAGCTTATCTGAATTCAAAACATCAACACTGTGTGATTTTGAGATGGCTATAAGGCAGAGTCACAAGCTGTATCTCTTGAGTTGGACCCCTTGTATAATTCTCTATCATTCAATATTCATATCACCATATGGCCATGAATTCACAATAACAATTAAAGGCACAAACCTGTTCCAGTTTGAAGATGTGTCTCACAAAGAACTGCTGTAGGTTCTCATTGGCATAGTTAATACACATCTGCTCAAAACTACAAACAAAAACATTCAGATTCAATTTCAAATAATTCATTTGTAAATGTGACAAGCATGTGTACAGGTGAAATATTATGAGCAATACAAAGCAGTCAATCATCTATGTTTGATAAAATACAAATGAACGAATAAATAAATGAAAAAGATTCTCATATTATGAGAGTCACACAAGAATGGAATAGAGAACTTGGAATTTGAAGGAATCAAGGCATGAAGCCAAGTCACACTTAAAGAATTAAATATTGTTCAGCACCTCATCCAAGTTTCAGTGAGAAAAAGAATTCTTCCGAAAAATCAATCTGATCACATATTTTTAATGCTCAATTTATTTTCAGAGACTAACCTGTTTTTATCAAAGTTCTCAAAACCGAAGATATCCAGCACTCCTATAGACTTCCTATAAGCTCCTTTCATTTTTCTAGGTTTAAAAATTGCATTGTTGATTTTTTCCACGATCCAGATGAACATTCGCCCGTAAATACCCTTCACAAAAGCGTCCCTAACATCCAGACATTGGCCAGTGTCCATTGTAGAGACAACTGTCTCTCCTTGTGCAAATATAGTTTTGGTGGTCAGTGCTTCTTTAAGGTCATTTGCCCTGACCTGGAAACGAGGAAATGAAAAATGATGAATTTAAGATTTAAATATTCTTTTTAGATTAATGGAACAGATAAATTAATTAATATTTACTTCTCTTAGAGACCCATATTTATTTAGTGAAGATATAAAATTATGATTTTTAAAAATATGATAAATAGAGGATATCTATTGATTTTATGATAAGATTTTAATCCACAAATGGATATGATATCTGCAATATGTAATATCTAAGAAACAACATATCCTATACCTCTAATAACCTAGCTGCTTTGTTCACATAGGAAATATCTTTGATGTCAGAGGCTGCTAAATTCTTCACTTCCTTTTCTGTGTACCTAATGTTACCTGCAACAGATCCAAATTATGTAGTTTTATTGTACAGAATTATTCATTTTATGTGGCATTGTCATTTTTAATGAATTGAAATCAATAGAATTCCTGTTTTCCCGACCCCCATACATGGCCCCAGGGGGTCAAGGTGAAAAACATGGAATATATGTGAAATAGATAGATGTTCTGAATATACTACCAGAATTTCAAACAAACAATTATATTATTTCTTACTTTGGTTTAAAATGAAAAACTTATGATTTTCACGAAAAATTTCCACCTCCTTTGTTTTAGCTTACCTAAGCTCAGCAGGGCAGAGAGGGTCTTTAAGATATCCCAGACTTCCTGGTCACTGAACATGAGCACTTTCATTGCAGATCGAATATCTGCAAATTCCTTGGCATCATCTCGACCCTCACATGTTGTATCTCCACCCTTAAGGAATAATATAACATATTTTCAGTTTATGTTGTATTCAGTGTAAATGTCACTAGATTTGTTTGGTTGAGCTTTCAGATTTTAAGCACCTAGGTTAATAATTTATTTGAAGAAATAAAAACTATTAATCATAATGATATGACCAGAGTTCAATTATTTTGTGGAATTCTATTATCTATTTAACATAAACAATTAAACATTCAACTTATTCAATAGAGTTTCAGATAACCCCTTTGACATGTTATATTTGAGACCCCTACCTGTCCTTTGACATGTTATATTTGAGACCCCTACCTGTCCTTTGACATGTTATATTTGAGACCCCTACCTGTCCTTTGACATGTTATATTTGAGACCCCTACCTGTATTAAATAGTTGTACTGATCAACGGATAGCAGGTCTAGTTTCTGTTTCTGTTCATTTGTGAGACCAGCTAACATGCAGTAAAATATATGGTAGTTTCTCTCATCATGCATCTGGAAGAGTACACAGGAACTGATGACATCATCACAACTATCAATGACATCATCACAACTATCACGGACATCATTACAAATGTCAATGACATCATTACAAGGATCAATGAACTATCAAGTATTTTGTAAGAAAACATACAAGCATGCATTAATTTTTCATTATTGTGTCAGTTAGTCGGAAATAGACTAAGACACAACTTTCTAAAACTGTTCCTTTTTATATAAACCGCATGTCATAACTGTGATTTGCTCCACTACTCTATTTTAAGTTACTATGACAAACATCTAATGTCACTATATCTTAAATATCTCAATAATATTTAAGAAATAGTCGAATGCTGCTTCTGTTAAATTTGGAGCAATATATAATAAAAAAAAACATAGCTATATTTATTTTGTTATGTAGTATTATTATATAATGTTTGTAGCTGTACTTATTGAACAGCCTGTAGTATGATGTTGTGTTCTATACCTGATTTACAATACGTGACTTCTCCAGCAAATATTGTTCGATCTTAGCTCCCTCTATACTCCCTTTCTCGTTAAAGTGGATATCAATATACTTTCCAAATCTACTACTGTTGTCGTTTCGTATAGTTTTGGCATTTCCAAATGCTGAAATAAAAAAGTTAAAATTTACAAAGTGTTTTTAATGTTCAGATTGATTGATTTCAGTTTTGTATGCACTGATCATTGAATGTGTAAAATATTCAGAGTAATTTCAATGGTGAAACTGTTAGTATACCTTGCACTTTCAAAAATACATATATTTAGGAATTCTCTTTATATTCAGGATGGGATTTCTACTATGTCAAACATTTACTCAGCATTTTCTTCACTATTGGAGTTCACCTAACTAACTTTTTCATGAAAAATATGACGTCCCTCCATATTTGAAATGTCTTTACTGATTGTTCATCATATAATAATCTCTCACCTCTACTGACTTTAAGTTACTCTACAAACAGGGTTATAAATACAAACAGCAACTCACCCTCCATGATGGGGTTAGCTTCTAGGATTTGTTGTTCTATCCAGGAATGTTGACCACTGACTGCTGCCAGGAACTGAAGGATCAACTTGGTTGACTCTGTTTTACCAGCACCTGATTCTCCACTGGAAATAAGAATAGTCTGGCATTTTACTAAAAGGAGACAGAAAGTGATCAGGATTTTTTGACCAATCCATATGTTTTTCGGTTTGTTTAAAGATGCAACACAGACTTACTAGACAGTGGATTCCCATATTTGTATTTTTTTAAGGAAGGATGACACTTTTTTGTTGGGAGGTAAAATAGATGTACAAGATGAAGATGTTCACATACTGTACACTTTAATTTTTTCATAATTTAAAACAGGAAAATACTGTTGCTCTAAAAACGTACCTGATGATGACACACTGGTCATGATGATACCTCCGCATATTATTGTATGAGTTATCAGCAATAGCGAATATATGTGGTTGAAGTTCACCGATCTTCTTGTCTCTGTATTGCTTTATTTCCTCTGATGTGTAGATGGGGAGGATCTGGTAGGGATTGACAGCCACCAAAATGGAACCAGTGTATGTCTGGAAGCACATAACATATTCATTACATTTATGGACAGGGTACAACATGAAGGCGTGGGATAATGAATACCATGGCAACTGGTTTGTTATATGATTTTGACTGGTAGATCTGAAATACATTCGATTCTCGGTCATGAAAATCGGGGAAATTGGCTGAATGGTTCATTAATCTGTATTTCTATGTTATGTGTGCATATGTTTATGATATGCTATTGTTCATTGTAAAAGCATCACATTCAGTATAACATCATATACCCATGGCTTTCACTTTGAGGGATTGAGTTTTTTACATGGATGGAAGACTTGGGCACATTCTTCCAAAAATATTATGAATAACGATATTTTGATGTTGTCATTTGTTTGTTTACATCTCAAATAACAAGAGATTTGGGAATCATGAACTAAAATGCTTTCAAGAATAAATTGATCAATGGTTGCTATGGTAGCTGAGCTTCAAATTTCAAATGCATAAAAATGAGAAAGTTTTCTATATTAGAGGGAAATGCGTAGAATAATCCTTATTGGAGTTAGTTAACTATTGAACATCATGTATGACTACTCTTTACATGTAATCACATTGTCTATAACCCTATAAAATATTTCAATTTACTTCGTCTGTGTTATCATATGATAGCATTTTGATATTGTTGTCTTTCTAATGGTGGAGAAAGGGATAAGCAAAATTATAGAATAGCCCGTGTTGATGCATTGAGCTGATATTACTTGATTGAAAAATCAAAAGATATTTTCTAAGTCTTGTGTGAAAAATTATGAAAACATGATGACCTCAATGTTATTTTTTGCCTAGGTTATCTTCATGAACTACATAACATATGGTCTGACCTGGGAATAAAATGTCATATATTTTATGTGAATATAATGATCACAATAACTCGGATACAAAAATTATGAAATATAATCAATAAAAATAACATTTACTTCACTTCAAAATAAATAAATAAAAATAAAAAACATTTTCAAAGTCTGATTTATGTTTAGGCAAAATAAAAGAAGAAATTTGAATTATGGGTATCCTCTAAAAAATGCTCACATAACATCTGTAATATAAGTGAACTCAAATATGTAAATGAAATTCTATAGACATTGAGGTGATCAATGTTCAATTAAAATACCATCAATTTCTTTGTAAATAACTTGCTTTAATCAAACATTTAGAAAATGCATATTTTTGTGAAGGATATAATGAATAAAATTCTAGGTCATTAAATACTGAATACTAGATCGGATCATTATTTATTAATCAAAAAATGCATTAGTCCTGGAAAAATAATGTTATTAAATCTCCATTGTTTTTATGATATCGACTTAGTCGATAATATATCGATAATTTATTTTACCAAATATCTGAAACATGTCAACATAGATTCAGTTTGCAAGAACTACAAGACACAGTGTTAGCCATCCCTAATAATCATGCTATTTCAGCATGTTCCTTTTTATTTATCATGTTTAACTACATAATAGTTATTACATACAAAATGAAGGTTTCCAGAAAGTGACTGTGTTTACATTAAAAGTCCAGGCCCTCATTCTAATTGCTATTCCTCAGGACTGTCGTAACATTTTTGAACAAGAGATACTAGGAAACATGTTTCAATAATTCATGCAATGAGTGACTCTTTTGGAGAGTGAAATCTACCCGATGTTCACATTTCATACAATATTAATCGTATCAAAAGACTAAAGTCTGAACAAACAAATTCTTCAAATTAAATTCTGTATCCATTCAGAGCCCTCTATTTTATACCGATCTCCATATTTGCAATCAATGTTTCCACATTCAATACTTGGTGTTTCAATAACATAAAATGGTTCCAAGGACCCTATAGGCAGAGACAGTGGCCAATAAAAAAAAATTTAAGATAAGATATTTTTTCTTTTTTACATCTTTTAATCATGTTAATAAATTGTAAATACTATATTGAGGCCAGGGACACCTAAATGCCACTAGAATTAACAACAACATGGATTAACAACTCTGTATGATTTATATGGTTTATCTAACCTTATAAAGGAAAGTGTTTATCTTCCTCAGAAGAAGAATATTTACACAGTAATCTAAGCTGTGATCTGTATCATTAATTTGCATTAATTTGTTTTGAATAGGATAGAACCAGAATTAGTAATGCAGCTGTACACAATATACATGTATTTTTCTTTCATGAGCTAATTCATACTGGACCATAGTCTCATAAAGGGGTACTTTCCAAAGCTAAAATGTATTAATAATTAATTAACAATGTGAATAATAATAATAATTTTTCATCAATTTGGGTCAAAGATTCTATTCTACCTAATGAGTCAAAAGTATCTGAATTTTCACAATGGGTACAAGATCAAATTTCACACTCAACTGACTGCAACCCACAGAGCATTGTCCATTTTTAAAATAAATAATAAAGCATAATGGTGTACTTACATAAATATGGTTGTCATAGTAACGAATGTACAGATTCCTCAGGATGCCAGACTCATTGAGGTCCCCCAGTCCAATCATGTCCTCTATGCCAGCTATAGAACTGACATGGATAGGCTTTAGCTTGGTATTAGGCTTGACAAAGTGGTCCTACAAAATATATGGATAGGGTTTAATTTGGTATCATGCTTGACAAAGTGGTCCTACAAAATATATAGATAGGGTTTAATTTGGTATCATGCTTGACAAAGTGGTCCTACAAAATATATGTAGAGGATTTAACTTGATATCAGGCTTGACAAAGTGGTCTTACAAAATATATGGATAGGCTTTAGCTTGGTATCAGGCTTGACAAAGTGGTCCTACAAAATATATATAGAGGATTTAACTTGGTATCAGGCTTGACAAAGTGGTCCTACAAAATATATATAGAGGATTTAACTTGGTATCAGGCTTGACAAAGTGGTCCTACAAAATATATGGAGAGGATTTAACTTGGCATTCCCAAATTGGTGAAAATAAAAAATTAGATTCTTTCATCAAAAATTATATCTGTTAGGGGGTATAATAATGATATTTTTGACTGATCAAACAGTGTGTGCCACATCATCAATACACATTAAGGCTTTAAGAGGATATCATTTAATAAATAATAAATAAAACAAATGGTAATAAGCACAATCAAATGATTGACAATATATAAACTAGTTATCAGCTGACCTTAGCTAGCTTTTTTCAAAACCTGAGACTCCATTAAGAGAACATAAACTAACATGGCTACTTCAAACAATCAAATAAATAATAAAAAAAACAAGAAAACATACTAACAGTATACCATGAACAAAAAATCATTGAAATATTTATAATCCACATCAAGCACATGTGATGAAATTCCTCACATTTAGTTTTTTATAATAGAATATCAGGCTGAAAAGATCATAGCTGAAATTCCTTCTATTATTCAAGGGTATTAGCTTCAAATGGTTAACCTCCTCTACATTTAAATGACTTCATAAAAAGTGAATGAGCAGCAGCTCTTACCCATTAATAAAAGTTCACTTTGTTTAACAATACAAAATAGGGAAAAATAGTGAACCATGCAAGGAATAAGCATTTACTCTAGGTTAATTGAAATATGATAAAATCAGACAATCCCCTGAAAATTGTGTCTCAAGAAAAAGTGTGGAAAATGGGCATGTGAGCCTATATTTTCAACATTGGTATTATACAGAAAGGCAAAAAATATTGAACCCCTATATAAAAATTCAGCTGTTCAACTCTCGGATTATATCACATCTTCTTCAGTCTTGATTTTTAAAAGCATCTCCGTTTCTATCTTAATTTGTGAATTATATTCTGTCCATATGTGTACCTTGATATTTGACACTTCCATTTTTTTATTCGATACAAAAATTGTAGTTTTATGTTATGTTCAAAGGTCACTTAAAATATACTCTTACTCTTTCTTAAATATCGATAAAATGTTGATTTAAAGGTATTTCCTGTAGTTGAAACAGGTTTTACAATTGAAACATAAAGTACGCTGCAGCGATATTTGAATCTATAATCCAAAAGAGCACTGATATACATTTGATACATTCATTTAAGCATTTTCTATTTTTTAGGTAAAGTCCATATACTTATAAAAAATAAATAATCTAGAGTCTCATAGACTGATCATTTGACTTAAATACAGTAAAACACATCAAGTGGAACACCTTTGGTACCTCTGAAGTTTTCTACTTGGGAGGTGTTCCACTTGTAGAGGTTCATTTAACATGAAGTCAGTTGGTCTAAGGACTCTGAAGTGTTCCACTTATAGAGGTTCATTGAACATGAAGTCAGTTGGTCTAAGGACTCTGAAGTGTTCCACTTATAGAGGTTCATTTAACATGAAGTCAGTTGGTCTAAGGACTCTGAAGTGTTCCACTTATAGAGGTTCATTTAACATGAAGTCAGTTGGTCTAAGGACTCTGAAGTGTTCCACTTATAGAGGTTCATTTAACATTAAGTCAGTTGGTCTAAGGACTCTGAAGTGTTCCACTTATAGAGGTTCATTTAACATGAAGTCAGTTGGTCTAAGGACTCTGAAGTGTTCCACTTATAGAGGTTCATTTAACATGAAGTCAGTTGGTCTAAGGACTCTGAAGTGTTCCACTTATAGAGGTTCATTTAACATGAAGTCAGTTGGTCTAAGGACTCTGAAGTGTTCCACTTATAGAGGTTCATTTAACATGAAGTCAGTTGGTCTAAGGACTCTGAAGTGTTTCACTTCTACAGGTGTTTGTTCCATTTTATGGGTTTCACTGTACACTCATAACATTGGAATATACTTGCTTCATATCATGAAATTTAGAAATTATCCTTGCATTTTTCCATTCTCTTTAGCAGAGATCTAATAAAAATTCCCTGTAACTTTCAAAGGTTTTTGGTATCATATCCATCTGACATTGGAAACCTGACACCGAACAGGGATGTCAGCTTTTCATAAAAACTTTTCATGAAACAGACTGAAATAATCATTGCTCATGTAAACACAGAAGTTGACAAACTGGTCAAAATGTGTGATTTCCAAATAAATACTAAGTCCACGATAAGAGAATGATCAAATATTGACACAACTCATGAGTTTCAAATGCAAAATAGCATTGGAATTCAATGTATAGGATTTTTCAAATATTTTACATGTGCATGTATTCATATCTATTAGTATTTTTCTCTTATCATTCCAGTTACTGGTATTCCACAATTCTCAACATAGTGAAAACCTATGGTTTGTTACAAAAAATTTGAGCTTAGTACTAATTTAGTAAGAAATGGTTACATGTATATTGCAATTAACCTCTTGAATCCCAGGCTCTAAAATCGGTTTGAAACCAAAGAATTCTTCGTCTTTGCCAGCTTGCCAGAAAAATTGTGACAGATCTCATCACTCTAGGTAGAGGTTAAAGCTATACATAAAGGTTGTGTTATATATTTCTGTATGTACCTTGAATATATAGTTACAGCTGAACTGGCCAAAGTTCACTTAAAGACCAGGAAGCTTATTGCGTAAAACCTGAAATATTTTTAAGTAGCACTGATAAATGTGCAAAAGCTTAGATGGCTCAAGTGCCTTTATCAGCATTGATCCAAAGTTATGTAATATATTTGTCATTGGTTTCTACTTCAGATTGTTTTTGTACTACTGGCAGTAGCACATCTTATTGCTATGAAGTTAAGCACTGGGAGATCCCCCCTCCCTTTTTAAAATTCTTTGGAACCCAATTTTTCATTTTTAAGCCACACTATTCAAAAATGGGCACTTTTAAAAAATTTGCCCAATTTCAAAAAGGCCACCGCTTAATTTACTTGGTTCTTGACAGCACTAATTATAGTAACTCTCCCACTTTTACCATAATAACACTATTATATGGTACAGTGACTTACCTTTCCATCATCATCTGTTAATACTATCTGGGAAGCATCAATAGACTTCACTTTAGCCCCAATAGACACATCAAACTCCCCCTGGACCTTGGGTTCAATCCACACATAGTCTCCCTGGAAGATAAAAAAGAATAAAGTAATATAAAAGTACAACCTGGGCAACATATACAAATTTGCAATTTAGCCATACAGACACATTACACTCGTCCTGAGCCCCAAAAGGAGTACTGTGGTTTCTTTTATTTGATGGGGCCGGGGGGTCCTGGATCCAGCTATGGTCCTGGGTTCTGCTTTTGGACGTGTTATAACTTACGATCTCGTCGCAAGTCATTGTTTAAGTCAAAAAAAAGTAGACATGGTTTTCTTGGAATCATAAGTTACGATAATATCAAAAATGAACCCTTGGTTGGAAGAGATGAAATCTATGGACTTATGATACCATACCCTAGATACAGTAATAAGAGAAGATTCTAACTTAATACTTCTTAATATTCAACAAAAGTACTGTAAAAGGTGTGACTATATTAGTACATAATTATATTACTCATAGCTGATACATGTAAGTAAAACATAAATGTCACTGTGTCTCATGTCATTTTTGTAACTCCATATGATAAGTGACCCGGTTTCATTTTCTTCTTTGTTCAAGAATATAATGTAAATTGATCATTATTTCATTTTTAATAACTTGCATATATAACAGTACTTTATATTTACTGAGATATTAAAACAAAAATATCACACTTTTTGTTTCCATTTTTCCATACCTAGTGGCTAGATTTATTTTTAAATCTTATACAAATATTTTTAATGAATCACGAAAATCATAGCAAGACTCGTTCATGAATGACTGTGCTATTTTTGCAGTGAGTAATCCACAAATAAACTACTGAATATTCATAGGTTTTTGTTAAGCACAGAACAATATTGTCTACATATTAAATATAGGGCAATTTTGTGAGAGATCAACTTCCATATACATGTATGCACCAGCGGATCTAGACGGGGGCGTGGGGGGTGCATGCTCCCCCTAAAAAGTCGGAAAATTCGTGTTTTGCCTCATTGCTTTTTACAAAATTTGAATCTTTTTTTTTAATTCGCTCACAGTTATCATCACACGCCCCCCCCCCCTAACACAAAATCCTGGATCCGCCCCTGGTACGTATAACATATATTTGTCCTGTCAGGCCAGAAGCCAGCTTTCGTCAAGGGAGGTTCACTTTTCAAAATATTCCTAATTGCTCTGTATCCCTTTTATTTAGCATATAGCTAGCTGCAATTAAACTATACTAAAAGATGCTATTTTGAGCAGTTTTGGACACTCTTGGTCAGAGTATACAACATAAAAAACAGAAGTGGGTATGACCTTTACATGATATATGAAATCAAAGAGATATGGACTTATTTATAACTTACCTTTCTTAGGTAGACCATGATGGCTCTTTCTCTTCTAACGGCTTATATTTATTGTCAAATCATCAGGAAGAATTGCTGAAAATATACAATTACAGTTTTTAAAATAATTTTTATGAATTTGTGTTACCTTCAGGACTATATTATCAAGATGTTATACTAAATCACATACCGTCACATGAGCCATGTGGACTCAGTATGGCTAATTTTTCAATTAATGCATTATTGTATTTGGTGTGATGGGAGATATCTTGCTGAAAAACTATTTGTTTTGCCCGCCATGTATCTTACTCTATCTATCCAATGCCCTGCCATCTGCCCCAAAGTATCTACATGGTGGTGAACGGAGAGCCCACAAGGCCTGTGTGACAGCTCGATAAGATCAGATATGCGAGACATGTCACGATCAAGTGTAAGTCAATACTCTGTAACCAGGGCTCTGTAGAACAGACTTGCAGGTTGCAGCCAAAATTCATGTATTCTAGATTGTGTACAGACATAAATCTACCCCCCCCCCCCCCAACCGTGATTGTGTATTAATGTGGCCTAGATAATGCAACGGAGTAGAATAAATGAGAAGCAAATACATTGCAACAAAATATGTTTACTTTATGTAATTATATTTCTATTTATTGCTTCGTAGCGGAATGCATTGGTAGTCCTAGCACAATGTTATTGGAAATCCGATAATTCTTCATGACGTTGAATTACAAGTATACTAATATAACAAACTGTACAGTATACTAATATAACTAGTTATAAGTGAATGCTTAACTCTTTGTTGTCAAATTGCTCACAAGTTTTCTAATTTCTATACAAAATGAGGAACAAAGAACTGTGATCATTTATGCACCCGCTGCTCAATTTTAGTTTCCCTTATTACTTGATTAAAAATAAAGAAGGGATCAGTATTGGCCAGGGCAAATGTAAATTGACAATGCATACTCGTTCCAATTTGATTTTCAATTATGAAAACTTTAGACTTTGATCCAAGATGCTTCAATCAAAACAATTAATGACACCAAAGAATCGATAAAAAAATATATATGTAAAATCATGTCAAATTGATGCAAATACTTTTTGAACTCTCCCAACCAACACACAAACCAATCATATATTTCAGTAGGACAGTCTATGTACAGCATGATGGATGGCATTGGTAGTAGGAGTATTGTTTAGTATGAGTAGAATACTTGAGACTGACATACTTAAGGTCACAAGCAAATGAAATATTTCTAATCAAATGTGAACTACCACACTATCAAATCAGGCCTTCCACAGTGTGGTATACAATACGTACATGTTCAGACATTGGTACTAAATGGATGGGCTTCTTTGCTTTTCATCAAATGTCACATCATCTAGGGGAGGGGAGGGGGGGGTTGTATGTAAAATAGGCCTCATTTTTAGTTAGTGAGTTGAAAATACTTTGTTAGACAACATTTGCAGAGGGAGGGGGGGGGGTGGAATACAGGGAGGGTACACACATCCTTGGTTTTTCATTGGAGAGTGAAAAGACATGATAATAGTAACACTCTGTACTCCCCCCCCCCTCTCTCTTGCTCCTTACCAAAGCACATCTATTCCCAGACCTCAAATCCCTGTAGCATACCACCAAAGAACCACCATGACCAGGCAAATCAGGATCATATTAAAATCAATTACTTGCATCTGGGAATTCTAGTAAATAATAGATACCTTCATGAATATCAAATCACTCGGTTACAATAACAATGCATTATACAGCATGGGGAATCTACAAAGAAATATCATAGCAGATTGCTAATGACTTGTACATCATGAAGTTAAAATGAAACTCACAGTCATTCACAAAAATCTATTATTTACTATAGTTTATATTTTTCGCAATTTAAATTGTCACATGGAAAATAATATGTGCAGTAAAACCTGTCTAATCTGAACGCCTCTGAGAAAAAGTGTTTACATTGAGAGGTGTTCAGATAAGAGAGGTGTTGGGATATACAGGTTCTACTGTAGTTGTATTAATCTCTAGTAAATCAATCACCTCCTGCCATAACCACCCCCCCCCCCATCCCCTCCCCCTTATTTACTTCACCAGGTTGTGTTGTGTTGGTGAAGGAGTGGGAGGGGGGAACAGTCTTGAGGCGAGACTAGGCACTAATCTCCAAAGGATTTTTTCACAAGTGGGTGCATTATTCTCATTTTCACAATTCAGACAAAAATTGATCAAATTATGCCCATTTTTCATGGTTTCTCTCATTTTCAAATGCAAGTGGGTGCAAGCCTATTTTCAAAATCTCAGGTATTCAAAATGGATATTCAGTAGTTCTGCAGCAGACTGTACTGTTAGCCTAGTATAGTTGTTCAATGTTGTGATGTGTTCAGTAAAAAGTCCATTGTTTAATTTATCACTGTAAGTCATTATGTTATTATTAATTAGAGTAGATTTCATGGCCTGACTTCGTCGGTAGAACTTGAAAAATAAGATTTACCTGAAGATTAGGAGTCTTACTTACCCTCTAGAGGTTAGAACACACATTTTAATGAAACTCTATCACCCTTGTTGCGTCAACTATAGAGCATTTAGCACAATGTCCAAGAGGTAAATTATGGATCGTGAAAATGAATGATTTCCTAGTAAGTTCCGGAAGTTTCAATACGATAAATTACCGAACATTTGTGAAAAATGAATCTTTGTTCGTTGATTTTATAATTTACACGTGCGTGAATTTGTCTACACTTTGGTCTAAATTATAAAGCATCACAAACAGGTCCTAGAATATTAATAGACTAATACAGCTGACGACCCATTCATACTTTCCGCGCAGCATTTCATTCAGACCAACAGTTTAACTGTAGATCATGCACTTTTTCTGTCTTAGAACAGGCCATCCTCCCCTGCCCTGTCCTAAACTCGTCTGTAGAAGAGACCACAAAACATTATCTTCAAATATTTTAATTATTTTTACATCAGACATGGTTGGATGATATGTCACAAAATTAAAGGTCAAGGTCAATACAGTATTTCGTGATAGAGGCAAAGCAGTCCCGGAAGTAAACACGAGGAAAATGGAAAAGTTCAAAAAGCATTACCACAAATTTCAATCAAGTACTGTGCTTATGCTTCATCATGTACAAAACATAGCTGATATGGTTTCATTAAAATGTGTGTTCTAACCTCTAGAGGGTAAGTTATACTCCTAATTTTCAGATAAATCTTATTTTTCAAGTTCTACCGACGAAGTCAGGCCAGGAAATCTACTCTAGTTTGAGGTCAGTAGTCTCAACACTCAAGTATATTTTATCACTGCCTGGCTATAAGAAAAAAAGATAACTGTTAAAAAAGATAACCATTTCTTTTTGGTATTTCGATGACAATATTAATGTGGTGACTGGCTACCCAGACCATGCATCCATAATCACCGCAAAAAAATACAACAATAGAGCACATTTCACTAAAAAGGCAATGGTGAAGGTCTGAGTTCTTACATCATCTAAAAGTGGGCCAATTTCCAAATCCTGTTTAAATATTGTGATATATGAATACAATTGAACATTTGCATTTTACATCAATCTACTGACCACTTCATGATAAATGAGTTTTAAAACAAGAGTCAAATGAATTATGTTACATTTGGTCCCTTGCCAAGTCATTTGGAATGCTCATATTTACATAAAAACTTCCAATGAAACAACCTGCTACTTCATACCTATTATGGTATAGATCTAAGAAGGATATCACATATCCTCAATTGCATTTGCATACATAGATATTCATGATTAAGATACAACTTTTTCATATATTTAGTTGAATTGATCTGGATGAAACTTGACCAGACTATACCGTTTATAAGGACACCGATAATATGTCAACTCCCAAAGCCAAATGCTTGAACAATCATTCATACCTTACTCTTTTTGAATAAAGCATCCAATTTTTTTATATTTCTATATAATATATTCAAACATGACCGTGCTCTATTCGAATTTCTCAACCAATCAGAATGCAGCATAGCCAATATAGAACGTTCTCTAATTCTCCATAGATGCACGACCATGCTCTATTCAATCTGCAATTTGCATTGTTTTGAGTGACGTCACATCTCAGCTGCACATCTGGGGCTCTGTCCGGGGATTGCATGCGTATTCTTCCTTCATGCCCGTTCCACAGACACGGCTTTTACTAATTTTTATGTTTGAATCGGAATAAATAATGATAGGCCATTCAATATGGTGAAATTCAGCACTCGTTGGACAGAATGTTAGTACAAATGCACTCACCTTCGGTTCGTGCTTTGTACAACATTCTGTCCAACTCGTGCTGAATTTCACCATATTGAATGGACTATCATTATTTATTCCTTAAGTAAACTATATATTATATATATTCACCCTGTTCCTTGTTGTCCTCTCTTTTTTCCTCCATTCCTCTATTTCCATTTTAAAACATGACCACGCTTGACAGTCCGCTCATGACAAGGCCAAGGGAGACAAAAATGTCAACCCTTTTTGAAATAGACCCTTTTTTAAATATAACGTTTTGAAAAAAAATGTTGATATTGCATGTAAAGACTGGATTTTGATCTGGACTATGTAAAAGGTTATATTCTATATTATTACATGCAAAGAAAATGTCACCAAAGGTTGAATAAAGATCAAGTATGTACTAAAATACAAGAAAATGTTTAATTAAGCACAAGACATGAACAAAATCAAACCACCAAATAGGCGGAAATTTGAATAAAAAACTGATGACCAGTTTTACAGGAATGGCGATTACTGTATATGATTCACCAAACCAAAAATAGTCATGGCAAATAGAAAACAAGAGAGTTACCAAAAAGATTTCTAGGATTCTTGATGATAAAAAAGTGGGATGCTAACATGATAACGAGCATGATGATAAGCATCATAAAGTATATTCCATCAATGTTGTGATAAAAACAGATAAAATAGGGTGACAAAATAACAAACAAACAATCAATAATGATATGAGAGTAATTCACACCAATTTCTCATCAGAGATCGAGTATTATCAGTTCCATCTTTGAAAAAAGTCAAGCCTGATGGGGCAAAGTCATCAAGGTCACATGGGG